CGAGGTGGCTGCGACCCACTGGTAACATAATCTAGCCGTTGTAATATAGTGTTTCTAAGGATGAGGACACCTCCACACAAAGAAGTCAATGTGTAAATCCATCACAATAGGAATCCGTGTGCAAAGTCGCGCGAAGTGATCATAGTTGTAACCCGCACATTGGGAATCAGTGCAAATCGCCCACCGCAAGGAATCCGATTGAAAAGCCGCACAGCAGGATTCCTGGTGTAACCCACCATAGAACTCAATACGTAAATCGCGTTGCCTCGGCTAACATTCGATCAGAGAAGGATCCATTTGTGATATCATCCTTAACGAGGTGCTATCAGGCTTGGAACCATTTGGAATAACATCGTATAAAACGATGAGGCCACCGCGAGTGTAATCCTACAGGGAATGGACCCAGTGAGCCTTATGGCGTGCTGCCCAGTTTTTGCCGCCGGGCAGGCTTCAGATCCCGTCGCCCGTTGATGCCCGATCAGGGCCCGCAGCGGCTCCGCCTGGCTCCTTGATGCACGTGGGGGGGATCAGGTGCCGCACTCGCATGGCGTGGGCTTTCCGCAGCTGATCACGCGAATGTTCCCCGAATCGCCGACCATGCCCGACTTTCCAGCATCGCGGCGATGAGCGGCTGGCGTCCAGCATCGGTGGGGCCCGCGGATTTCGAGACCGAGTCGATGTCCGTGCACCTTATCCAGGCGCGCTGCGTTCCTTCTCGTTGCCATGCTCTTCAAGCCCAGTTCCCCAGCGTCGGAGAGTTTGACCCAGTGCTCTGAGTCAATCGGGATGGGCAATGTGAGTTCTGCGACATTTTTGGAAAATTTCGGGCTGCGTTCCAGCTAGTTTGTCGTGGGGGATGGCTTCAGCACCGTGTGCTCGCTAAGCCGAAGCCTTAGCATGGACTGCGGCGGGCGGTAGCCGAGCAGGTCGGTGTGAGAAGCACGCCCTCCCTTCCCCTTCCGCCCTTTCCCCCTGCTGAACCTTTTCTCCCCGCCCCTCCTCTTTCTGCCTCGCTCCTTGCCCCTGCCGCCCTCCACTCCTCCCCTCTCCCCCTCTCCCCTCCCCCTCCCCGAAGTTTCCGCCCTCGGCCAATTCCTGAGGCTCCGAGCCGAAGGCACGTGGCCTTCGGCAGGCCAAGATTCAGGAGCCGAGCGCAAAGAGAGGACTCCACCCGACGGACCTAGGCGTCGGAGTGGAGCAGATTCCCTTCATAGAGGAGGCGGTCGATTAGCGTCTGGAGACGATGGGATAACGCCGGTCCAGCGTCGGCTAGCGTCGATTAGCGTCGATTTAGCGTCGATTAGCGTCGATTCGCAAGAGCCGACAAGATGGTATGGGGAGCTCCCATGAGTTGCCACCGAACCCTCCCTCCCGTGCCCCCGGGGCTCTCTCGGCGCCCTTGGGGGGGGGGGGCGGAACGAGGCCGGCGTGTAGATGGTTCTTTCGGGCAAGGGTGGGCGGGGAGTCGAGCTTGGTCGGGGGGGTGCGCGGAGGGGAGGGGCTTGGGCGGACGGGCCGACTTTGAGAGGGAGGGATGGCGGGGGAAGCGGGGTGGGGGGGGTGGAGGGGAGGAGAGACGCGTGGGGTCGTTCTTGCTTTGGGGAGGGAGGAACAGCATACATGCACAACGTTCACCAACATATCATTGCAGCGGCAGGGCAAGTGATGCGGAGTTCCCTGACTGGTTCGTAGCGCAGAGTCTGGTTTTCAAGGGGGCACGCTTCTGCGGCAGCCAGTGCCATCTTTCATGACGAGGTTGCACAAGCATTGGCAATCACAGACCGCAGCCGCCTTGCAAAAGCGGCATTCAGGCCCCGGGGAAAAGAAAGACATCATACAGTTGAGACCCATGCCAAGAACACCCTGCTTGCCTCCAGGGTGCCCTGGGGTTCTTGGGTTTCGATGGTTTCGCTGTGGAGAGCGCGACGTTCCCACGCCAAACATCAGTGGACGTCCTGGGGTCTCGGGTTTCTTGTGGAAGGTGTTCTTGTGGAATGGCCTCCACTGTAATGGGAGGGCAGGGGAGTGGATGGGACGGTGCCGCCTCGCCCGCTGCCCCCCGCCTCCCCTCCTTCCCCCGCCCGCCAGAGGAGGCGGCCGTGCTCCGGAGAGAGGCCGAGGCCGAGCCCGTGAGCTGAGGCGCGGCCCGCCAGTGCCTCCCCGCGCGGGGGGGGAGGAGCTCGACCAACAAAACAAACGACACCTCGGTAGCAACTCATGAGAGCTTGGTGTGCCCTTCGAATTCCGCCTCCAGCGCCGATACGCGTCGATTGGCGTCTGGGAGTCGATGAGATAGGGCCGATTTAGCGTCGGTGAGCGTCGATTAGCGTTTGTTGAACGCCAGTTAGCGTCGATTCAGCCTCGACCAGTGTCGAGTAGCGTCGATTCGCAAGAGCCGACAAGATAGTAATTATTAGAAGTTCCCATGAGTTGCCACCGAACGACACCACCCTACCTACGGCCCTGCACGTTGCGCCACGGCCCATCGGGCGCCGTAACGTATACCACGCAGAAACCCGCGTCAGATCATGTGTCATGCGATAATCACCGTGGGGCCGCATGTCAGGGGGTGCCGTCTGTCTTCTGGTTCAGGAATGCATCTTTTCTTCCGTGTCCCAATCCGTTGCGTACCCTTAGGGGCGCCAGTTGGCCAGTACCTTTCGTGCTGTGAGCCGCAGGAGGGCTCGCATCGTGAGTTGTGTGTAGTTTTGATGGGGGCCCTCTCAGAGCACAGCTCAGTCTTCTTGGGCTCGCCGATTCTTTATCAGCTGGACAGGGGCTCCATGATGTTCTGCTTTGCTCTGCTCTCCTCCATTCCCCCGTCCCCCGCCCCCTCCTCTCCATGCCCCTGGCGTGCGCGGTGCGGAACCGCAGGGACGGCGTCTCTCTCGGATGCTGGGCTTTCTGGCTCGTTGACTGGTGGGGGACCGAGTGCTGCTGGGCGGTGCAGGGTCTGCCTTCTGACCCTTCGCAGCCAGAAGGCTCAGCGTTGCCACCGGTCCGCTCGAAGTGCCCCCTGGGCAACTCTCCCGCTCTTCCCGGCCTGCCGCCCCCTCCTGGCGTCCCCCCTGCTCCCTCCACCTCCCCTCCCTCGCTCTTCCTCTGCCTCTCCCTCTCTGCTTCTCTCTCTCGTTCTCTTTGTCCCCCTCTCGCTCCACCCATCGCTCCAGCCCATCGTGCTGGAGAACCGGCCCTGTGGACGAGGGGCAGGGCACCTTGTCTCACGGACCTCCTCCTCCTCGCCCGCCCCCCGCCCAGCCCGCCCGCCCAGACGCCTGCCCCCGCGACGCCGGCCGTGCCCTCGTGCAGCGGAGGGCCCACGACAGGGCCCCCGCTGCTCTCCGCGCGAGGCCCCCCGGTGCGCGCGCGGAGGCCGGGGCGCCCCGCGCGCGCGCGTCGGCCGGGCGCGCTTTCCCGCAGGAGCGCCGCGCCCGGGGCGCGGCGCGCGCCGGCGGTGCCCCCGCAGAGGGGCCGCGTCGCGCTCTGCCCTCTGCGAGGCACAGGGCACGCGGAGCACGCCCGAGGTTCCGCGGCGCGGGAGCTCGTCGACGCCGATTTTGGTCGTGGTCCTCGTCGGCCGCCGCGGGTTCGCGAGGATGATTCACGACTGGGCGGTGGCCAGCATGGACGGTGGCCAAGACCGGCGCCGACGCTTCCGCGTTCAGTCCAGGTCATGGTCCCCGCTTTCCTGCCACCTCCCACCGAGGGTGGCCATTCGCTAGAGTGGCCTGCTTCGAACCCTACAGTGGAGACCCATGCCAAGGAGCACCCTGCTTGCCTCCAGGGTGCCCAGGGTTTCTTGGGTTTCGATCGCTCTGCTGTGGAGAGCGCGACGTTCCCACGCCAAAAATCAGTGGACGTCCTGGGGTCTCGGGGTTGGTTCTCTTGTGGAAGTTTCTCTTGTGGACTGGCCTCCACCGTACTGCTGCGGGCCGCCCCCGTCTTCCCGTGTCGGCTGTGCGGGCCCGTGGCCCCCAGCGCGACCCCCCGGCTACTCGCCCGCACGCGTCGTGTGCGCCCGTCCTCGCCGCTGGCCAGAGCCTGCTGCGAGAACCCTACCCTTGTGGGTCCAAGCGGTGCCGGGGTCTCGCCAGGAGGGGACCAGAAGGCACAGGCGCAAACAAGCGCGGATTCCCAGGAAAGTGGGTGATCCTTCTCTTTTTCGTTGTTTTGCCGATCGGCGCGGGCCCTCGCTTCCCCTCCCCCCCAGGGAGCAGATCTTGGCTGTCTTTGGTGCCCGTTTCGAGCAGGCGGAGTTTCCCCCATAGGACGCACTGATGCAAACAGTCGCATTGAGCAGACGTCCAGTGCCAGACCCCCCCTCTCCCCCCCTTCCGCCCAAGGTCGAAATGCCGAGTAAGAACACGCTCACTATGGTAAATATGAAAAGTGGATGGGGAAGACGAACATCCAGACAACACGGAAGCATGCATGGGGATCATGGGATCTGTGTGTGTTCCTTTGTGTCCCTGGGCCCCTGTTGGACCCCCCTGTTGCTCTCCACCTGGTTGCAGACAGCCTCCACACAGCGCGCCGAGGTCTGCGCGCTTGGAGCTGGCACCCCCGCGGCCCCCAGAGGCCGCGCGCTCGAGGCCGCTCCTGCGCAGGGCCGGCCACCTGCGCGTTGTCGACTTCACCGCTGCGCGCCGTCCCTCCCTCCCTCCCTCCCTCCCTCCTCCCCCTCCTCCTGCTCCTCCTCCTGCTCCTCCTCCTCCTCCTCCTTCTGCTCCTCCTCCTCGTCCTGCTCCCTCCTCCTCCTCCTCCTCCTGCTCCTCGTCCTCCTCCTCTCCCTCCTCCTCCTCTCCCTCCTCCTCCTGCTCCTCCTCCTCCTGCTCCTCCTCCTCCTGCTCCTCCTCCTCCTCCTCCTCCTCCTCCTCCTCTTTCTCCTCTTCCTCCTCCTCCTCACTCCTCCTCCCTCCTCCCTCCCTCCTCCCTCCTCCCTCCTCCCCTAAAGCTCTGCCGGTGCCTCTCGACTCGCGCGCGGGCCGCGCCGTGTCGAGAGGCGGCATCGCCGCAGCGCGCGCGCAGGCGCGCGCGCCGGTGCCGCCGCGGGCGGGGGGGCGAGCGGCGCCGCGGGGATCTCCGGGCGCGGGCCGCCATGGGCTGCGGCGGCTCGGTCGGCCATGTGGGGGAGCGTGGGCGTGGCAGGGGCGGGGGGTCGGAGGAGGGAAGGGTGCAGTCAACTCGGAGAGGAGAAAGCACGCTATAAGCATAAACTTTTGGCGCTCCGCGCGGCTTTCTTGGATCCGCGCTGGGACGCCCCGGCGGCGCCTGCGGCGCCGCCCCTGGCGCGCTCCGCGCGCCAGGGAGGGGGGTCCAGCGCAGATCCAAGGAAACCGCGCGGAGCGCCAACAGTTTATGCTTATGCCGTTTTTTCTTTTTGTATATCTGGGGGAGCCGCAAGGGGGTCGGAGGAGGAAAAGGTACAGTCAGCGCGCATCGTAAGGACGCGCGCCTTCATCCAGGGTGCCCTTGTGTCCTGGCCTCTGCGGCCCGTTCTGAACAGCGAAAAACCTCCCGCAGGCCAAAACAGCGAAAAAAACCTCCCGCCGTGATGATTTCATGACCCGAAGTGGTCTGGGTAAAAAGGCCTCCTGGAAGCGGGGAGGGCCTCGCAGACGCCGCCTCCTCTCCCTGAGCCCCCCCCACCTTCAGGAAGGCTGCCCCCCTCGCGCCACTCCGCCGTGCGCGCTGGCGGGCCATTCGTGCCGGCGGCGAAGTTCTAACCTTACCCCCGCCTCCCACCGATTCAACCGAATGTTGTTGGCCACGCGCGCAATGAGGTAACCAAGGGGGAGGGGTGAAGGCTTCTTGGAACAACCCTGCTTCTCAGAGGGCGCGGGCCGTATCTGTAGATATGTAGGGCCGGCGCCTTTTCAAAAGCAGCCTCCTTCCAAAGAACCTTCCCCCCTCCCCCTACCCCCCTGTGCGCGCCGCCAGATCGTGCCCACGAGGCCACTTCTCTGCGATGCTGGCGGCACCAGGTGGGGTCTCCTCCTGGACTCCTGTCCCTTTTTCTCCTGCTCTTGCTCCTGCTCCTGCTCCTGCTGCTGCTCCTGCTCCTCCTCCTCCTCCTCCTCCTCCCCCTTCCCCTCCCCCTCCTCCTCCTCCTCCTCCTCCTCCTCCTCCTCCTCCTCCTCTTGGCCTACTGTTCCTCTTTCTCCTGCTCCTGCTCCTGCTCCTGCTGTGCCGCCGTGAGAAGCGCCCCCCGCGGCCACCCGCGGAGGTCTCGAAGGCCCTCGGCCAGGAGCACTCTGGGGGGGGGCCTCCGCGCGGCGCCGCCTCTGCTGGCGGCGGGCTGGCGGGCCTTGCATTAAGTCGGACGTGCCCCTCTACAGGTGGAATGTTCAAATAGTACGATCTATAAGTATTTTCATTATTTTTGATTATTTATGAGTCTATTTTGATAATTTCAATATTATTCCTTCGAAATTCACCTGTAGTAGGATATGCTCGACCTAAGCCTTGCACATATTCGCCTGTAGTAGGATATGCTCGACCTATGTAGTAGGTGAACAGCTCAGGGGCGGGCATTGCACGTATTCGCCTGGGAGCCTCGCCGAATGCATGGAGCATCGATGCCCCTGGATAGACGATGTGGCTCTCCCCTGGGCTATTCGCCCCTGTCGTTGCCCCCGACTTGCGCAGCCTCCCCCCCCCTTCCACACCCTCGCGCTGTGAAAGGAGTCGAAAGGAGTGGCGGTGGGAGGTGTTTTGGGGGTAATGTGGGGGGGGGGAAAGGCTCAGGGGGGACGCATCGACCCCGCAGCGCCAATCCATCGCCGATAGGGGGCCCGATGGAGCTGGCGTGCGGATTCGTGATCGGGGACCTGTCGCAGATCTCTCAGCGAGGTATCGCAGATTCCAGGCCGATGTTGCACCCCCCCCCGCCCTCTGAGCCGATCCCCTTCTCACGCTGCCCCCCCGCTCAGCGGTGTGAGAAAAAGCTTTGGCTGGAGGTTTTGGTACCTCCAGGGGCCGCTGTCGTCTCCCAGGGCCGTCGAGAAAGGACTCGGGATCAGAAGCCGTTCCCGGGGAAGGTTCTGAGGAACATCTTGGAGGCCTCGCTCGGCGCGTAGCAACAGCATCATCTAGTCCGCACGTCAGCTCGGTAAGCCATGGGTCGATGCTCGCGCGGCGATGCTCTGCAGTCAGTCCGACGTAAGTCCGAAGTAATTCCGACGTAGTCAGACGTGAATCCGACGTAAATCCGACGCGGATCCGACGTACATCGGGTCTCCAGTTGCCGCGCGAGGCCTCTGCGATTTTCCCCATGAGGAAGGGTTCCAGACATGTGGGGAGCCACGCTGTGAAAAATCACGACGCCAGATGTCTGGGCCCCCCAATCGCCCCCACAGGAGCATCCCTCTTGCCCTCCTGAAGCTTGCGTCCCGACTAGAGCCCCGGTGTGAGGAGCTCCGATCATTCACACATCTTCTGCTCGCGTTCCGACCCAGTCAGCGCAGTTCCTCACCACCCACCAACCCACCCCAACCCAACCCGAAGGCCCCGATTTGCCATCCATTTCCAGTGGGGGGGGGGTCGGGGACCATCGAAAGAACACGTATGAAACCCATACCCCCCCAACCCGAAATTCGGGTCTTCGGGTTGGGTTGGGGTGGTCTGGTAGGTAGTCAGTTCCATCACCGGCGCGTGCGAACGGGAAGGAGGGACATGGTGAACAAAAGAACCCCTAACCCTGATAACACAGTGAAGACGTGGCCTCACTTAGGTCCCCTTCTTTGCATTAGGGAAGATTTACCTCGGTGGTTTGTTTCCGTACATCTACAGAAAGAACCTTTTGTCTCTAATGTTTCTGGCCTTTCTAACCTGATCCCCCTCCCAAGCGGTTAGAGTTTTTGTTATATTGCTAATCTCGGCGGCCAGCGAGGGGGGGAAGTGAGAAGGAGAAGGCCTTCTCAGAAGGTCCGGAAGTTGGCAGTCCCCCGGCCTTCTGAGAAGTCTTTTCAAAGCCTTCCCCGAAGACACAACAGACATTCTCAGAAGGCGCGAGGGCTTCTGAGAAGTCCCGCCGCCTGCTGAGGAGGCCTTCTCCTTCTCACTTCCCCTCCGGGCGCGCCGCCGTCAGAAGTCCATGCCTGCGCACGACGCTCCCACGGGGCACGCACGGGCGGCGATGGAGGGAACAAAAACAAAGCACCAGAAGCCCATGCCAACCGCTTAGAACAGAAATCATAACCCCTCAGTGCAATACCCGCCACCGCACCGCGAGGCACTGAGTGGAGCGTACTCAGGTCGTCAAGAGTCCTCGGTCCTCAGTCCTCAGTCTTCGCCCGCCGCCAATGATCAGAGGGGAAGCAGTTCTGGCGCCCCAGGCGATCCCTGGAGGTCTCTGGCGTCCCGAAGAAGGAGGCCCGCAGAGGGCCTCCCCGAAGGAGGAGGCCCGCAAGAGTGGGAGGCGCGCAGACCGTCGGCTTGATCTCGGGAGCCTCGGCCATGGGTTCAGGGGCGACGTTGGGGGGGGGGGATGGGCTCAGGGGGCCCTCGTCCTCCTCCTCTTCCTCCTCCCCCTCCTCCTCCTCCTCCTCCTCCTGCTGCTCCTCCTTCTCCTCCTCCTCCTCCTCCTCCTCCTCCTCCACGCCCCAAAGCGCCCCCAGGTCCCAGCGGCGTCCAGAGGCCCAAGGGGAGCCTCAGCAGTGCCCCGACGGCCCGAGCCAACCTCGATCGAGTCTCCAGACGCCCCCTGCGTCTGGTCCGCCCCCCCCCCCGCCCCGACAAGCGGGACCAGGAGCTCCAGGACTCGCGGAGGGAGCTGAGCGAGGAGCGCGGGCGCCTCCAGGCCTTCCCCCGCCGGTGCGCCGGGGCCAGCGGCCTTCGCCGCCGCCGCTCCTCTTCGGCGGCGGCCGTCGGCGTCGGGCGTCGGGCGTCGGGCGTCGGGCGTCGGCGCCGGGCGTCGGCGTGTGGCGTCGCCGTCGCCGCAGGAGGGCGATTGAGGGAGGGAGGGAGGGAGGGAGTCGGAGGTGGCGGTAGGGGCGAAAAGCCCAGGGGCGGGCATTACATGTGTTCGCCGGGGAGCCTCGCCGAAGGCATTGTTCTTCGGCGTCCCTGGATACATGTTTTGCTCTCCCCTGGGCTATTCGCCCTCATCGCGTTGCCCTCGAGGGAGTCGGAGGAGGGGGAGGTGGAGGAGGAGGAGGAAACTCACGCCTCGGGCGAGCTTTGCCCAGGCTGGCCCCAGACCCCTGGCGGCTCGAAACAAGTGCGCCAGAGGTCTTCGCATTTTTGTGATCAGCAGTACGCCTCAGTGTGAAGAGCGCAGGTAGGAGTGCGCAGACAGGGATGGGCGTGTCGGCGTATATTGTACGAGAGCGAGGCGCACTATGGCCATGGCCATGTTGGCTCAGGGCGCTTGTCTCGCGTTTGTTGACGGCGATGAGGCGGGTGGGAAGTCATAGTACGTCAACTTATCAGACGTCCAGGGGCCGTCTCAAGCGCTGGAGCTGCTACACGCTTATCGGAATCTGGAGCATATACACTACCAGTGTCAGGCTGTTTTTCAATACCAGGACTTTTCGAGGGTCGGGGACGACGTCGGGGTGGTGTGGTGTATACTTTTTTCCCCGTTTCCCCGGGGAAACAGCGAACAAAACATACACCAGGATCCCGTATACACCAGGATCCGCTTTCCTGTGCGAGTTTCAGTGCAGGGCGGAAATAATGATAAGAAGAAGAATAACACTAATATTAATAATACGAATACCAAGAAGGATACGAAGACGACGAATAATAATAATACTAATAATAGTAAGAATAAGAGGAATACGAATAATAATAATAATAATAATAATAATAATAATAATAATAATAATAATAATAATAATAATAATAATAATAATACTATTGATAATACTACTAAGAATAAGAATACTAATACTTGTAAGAATAATACGAATACTAATAATAAGACGAATTAAACTAATACTACTAATAATAATAATCATACTAATAATAATAGTAATAATAATAACAACACTAATAATAATAATCATAAAAATAATATTAATAATGATAATGATAATTTGAGGGAGTTTCTGTGGAACTCACGTCATCCTCACCCCCGGCGCGAAGAGCACGAGCCCAGAGCGGCCTCCGGCACCGTTTCCGGACGGATCCGCTGGATCCGCTGGATCCGTTGGATCCGCTGGATCCGGTGACGAATCCCAAACCGGCGCCCTCGCCTGAGACGTCCTCACAAAACGGGCCCCGGGGGGGATGCCCAGAGGAGCCCAGAGCGGCCTCCGGCACCGTTTCCGGACGGATCCGCTGGATCCGCTGGATCCGCTGGATCCGGTGACGAATCCCAAACCGGCGCCCTCGCCTGAGACATCCTCACAAAACGGGCCCCGGGGGGGATGCCCAGAGGAGCCCAGAGCGGCCTCCGGCACCGTTTCCGGACGGATCCGCTGGATCCGCTGGATCCGGTGACGAATCCCAAACCGGCGCCCTCGCCTGAGACATCCTCACAAAACGGGCCCCGGGGGGGATGCCCAGAGGAGCCCAGAGCGGCCTCCGGCACCGTTTCCGGACGGATCCGCTGGATCCGCTGGATCCGCTGGATCCGGTGACGAATCCCAAACCGGCGCCCTCGCCTGAGACATCCTCACAAAACGGGCCCCGGGGGGGATGCCCAGAGGAGCCCAGAGCGGCCTCCGGCACCGTTTCCGGACGGATCCGCTGGATCCGCTGGATCCGCTGGATCCGGTGACGAATCCCAAACCGGCGCCCTCGCCTGAGACATCCTCACAAAACGGGCCCCGGGGGGGATGCCCAGAGGAGCCCAGAGCGGCCTCCGGCACCGTTTCCGGACGGATCCGCTGGATCCGCTGGATCCGCTGGATCCGGTGACGAATCCCAAACCGGCGCCCTCGCCTGAGACATCCTCACAAAACGGGCCCCGGGGGGGATGCCCAGAGGAGCCCAGAGCGGCCTCCGGCACCGTTTCCGGACGGATCCGCTGGATCCGCTGGATCCGGTGACGAATCCCAAACCGGCGCCCTCGCCTGAGACATCCTCACAAAACGGGCCCCGGGGGGGATGCCCAGAGGAGCCCAGAGCGGCCTCCGGCACCGTTTCCGGACGGATCCGCTGGATCCGCTGGATCCGGTGACGAATCCCAAACCGGCGCCCTCGCCTGAGACATCCTCACAAAACGGGCCCCGGGGGGGATGCCCAGAGGAGCCCAGAGCGGCCTCCGGCACCGTTTCCGGACGGATCCGCTGGATCCGCTGGATCCGGTGACGAATCCCAAACCGGCGCCCTCGCCTGAGACATCCTCACAAAACGGGCCCCGGGGGGGATGCCCAGAGGAGCCCAGAGCGGCCTCCGGCACCGTTTTCCGGATCCGCGGATCCGCTGGATCCGCTGGATCCGGTGACGAATCCCAAACCGGCGCCCTCGCCTGAGACATCCTCACAAAACGGGCCCCGGGGGGGATGCCCAGAGGAGCCCAGAGCGGCCTCCGGCACCGTTTCCGGACGGATCCGCTGGATCCGCTGGATCCGCTGGATCCGGTGACGAATCCCAAACCGGCGCCCTCGCCTGAGACATCCTCACAAAACGGGCCCCGGGGGGGATGCCCAGAGGAGCCCAGAGCGGCCTCCGGCACCGTTTCCGGACGGATCCGCTGGATCCGCTGGATCCGGTGACGAATCCCAAACCGGCGCCCTCGCCTGAGACATCCTCACAAAACGGGCCCCGGGGGGGATGCCCAGAGGAGCCCAGAGCGGCCTCCGGCACCGTTTCCGGACGGATCCGCTGGATCCGCTGGATCCGGTGACGAATCCCAAACCGGCGCCCTCGCCTGAGACATCCTCACAAAACGGGCCCCGGGGGGGATGCCCAGAGGAGCCCAGAGCGGCCTCCGGCACCGTTTCCGGACGGACGACCTGACTGCATAACACGCCTGGATATGCCGACGGGGGCGAAGGAGGAGGAGGAGGAGGAGGAGGAGGAGGAGGAGGAGGAGGAGGAGGAGGAGGAGGGGGAGGGGGCAGGCGAGGGAGCCCCGGCCCTGGGGGAGGGGCCCTGAGGGAGCCCTGATGGGCTTCCGGCACCATGGAGAGGTCCTGTGGGGCGGCCGCCCCTTCTTCTCTCGGTCGTTTCCCTCTCGCCCAGAAGCGCGCGTCCCTTCTTCTATATATATATATATATATATATACAGAAACTCCCGATCAACCGCAGAGCGGCGGATGTTAATAAGAAGAAGAAGAGGAGGAGTAGGAGGAGGAGGAGGAAGAGGAGGAGGAGGAGGAACAAGGAAAAGGATGACGAAACATGACGAACATAAAATCCTCTTAGGGTGTCTCTTGGGAGTTGTTCTGGAAACCTCTTGGAGCGTCTGGGGGGGATCTTGGGGGCCTCGGGGGTCCTCTTGAAGCCTCTTCGGGGTCTCTTGGAGGTCTCCTGAATGCCTGTCGGAACCCCTTGGGATATCTCTTGGGACGTCTTGGGGGTCTCTTGGCGGTCTCGAGGGACTCTTGGGCGTCTTGGGTGCCTCGGGGAGGCCTCTTGGGGCTGCTTGGGGTCCTCTTGGGGGTCTCTTGGGGGCCTCTTGGGGCCATCATGGGGCTATCTTGGGGCCATATTGGGGCCTCGTGGAGCCTCCTGGGCGCCTCTTGGGGCCATCTTGGAGGACATCGATCAAAAAAGGGGGGTTCCCCAATTTCGGTCCCCCCCTTCGGGAGGCTAACTGGGGCCAGTACCATAGCAAAACCAATGATTTTGGCTTCCTCGCCGAGGCCGTTTTGGACGCCCCAGCGCGTCGCTCGCTCACTCCCACCCGCCCTCCCAACACATACGTAACACCCGGGTCTGGCCCGAGCCTCAGCATATTCAGCAGTCGTCTGTGGATGGGCAGCTACGGGGGGCCAATCCGCCGCCGCCGGCGCCGCCGCCTCCGCCGCCTCCGCCGCCGCCGCCGCCGCCGCCGCCGCTGCCCGCCGCCGCCGCCGCCCGCCGCCGCCGCCGCCGCCGCCGCTGCCAAATCGCTGCCGCCGCAGCCGCTGCCGCTGCAGCCGCTGCCGCCGCCGCCACCGCCGCCGCCGCCGCCACTGCCCGCGCCGCCGCCGCCGCCGCAGCCGCCGCAGCCGTCGCCGCCGCCGCCGCCAAGTGTACTCCGTATTGTTTTTGACAAGGATGGTGGGGGGAGGCCGCGTCGGGTTGGCTGCTTATGCTCCGAAGTTGGAGTCAGAGTGTGTTTTGTATGGTTTTTTTTCAAGGGATGGTGGGGGGTTTCCCTCATGGTTCCTGGTTGGCTACCAGTCGCCTGGGGGAAGGGTGTTTATGCATAGGGTACAATGATAAACCCTTCCCCGAAGGGGAAGTAGGAGGGGTAACGGAGGAAACATTCTAGACCACCTACGCCCAAAAGGCTGGTGGGATTCTTTTCCCGGGGGTGGGATGCAGCTGCCAAAACATATGTTGAACGTTCAGTTTCTGCGATCGCTCTGCCCCTTCTCCGCTCCTCGCCCCTCCCCTCTTGAAACGTAGCGTTCTTGCTTGCCCGCGCGCGCCGTTTGCGCGGAGCTGGCAAACAGCAGAAACCAACCGAGGCTCACTGACATGTTTTACGTATGTTTGTGCGCATGTCCTACCGATGCGCCGTCAGGGCGCAGCTCCTTGCCGCAGCGCAGTGGGGCGCGTGGGCCCCAGGCTGTCCATCGCGTGTGCCGCAGGAGGGGCCCGCGTTTTAGCGCGGTGTCTTCGAAGGACGAGGATGCCTTTTTTAAGCTGGGGGTTCTCGGTTGTCGCGAGCAGTTCAGCTGTCTGTGCTCATCGCACTGAGCCCGCTTGACATTTTCTGGAGATTTGGTGTGTGCGCGCAGTGATTTTTCACAGTCCGAAGCATGGGTGTCGTTCGTGACGGTGTCGGCCTGCCCCACGTGGTTAGTTGTGGCAAGTCCTGATGAGGACAGCCAACCACGCGCCGAAACGCTGGAAACGGAAATGACCAGCGGTGCCCTCGGAGCGGGCTTGCCCCGTCCTAGACCGAGGGGAGGTGCGCAATCAACTGTTTCAACTTTTGTCGCCGGCTCAGCTCGGGGGGGGTGTGTGAGGCGGGTGCGCATTTTGTCTTGTATCTTGCAATGATGTGGATGTATGTTGCAATCCACTGGTGACCAGCCAGAGTTCGACTTGGGCATGGCGCGAGTGCTCAGCGAGCCTGAGCTGGACTCCGGTGGATCTCTCGAGTGATCGTTGAGTTATTTTGTTGTTGTCGTTGTTGTCGCTTTGCCAAAAAGGGGGCTTCGCAGGTGCCTTCAGACTTTGTTGCCGCGTCCGTGTGCGAGTCCGGTAGCTTGGCCCCGGCTTCTCTGGCACGAGTTTTGAAACCCGCCGGTGGCACGAGCGAGGTGTCCCACGAGCGCCTAACGCAGGGTTCGGGTGGCTCACACCCCTGGGCCGTGGTTGGCATCCGTTCAAGAAAAAGGGTGGCACCTGGCGGATGGTCGCCAGGCTGTAGGCTGCGATGTCACGAACGAGGGGGCCGTTATTTCCTCCCTTCTCTGAAGGTCAAACAGCGAGGCTTTTGGTTGGCGCATGCAGCTCAGCTGTCTGTGCTCCTCGCACTGAACCCGCTTGACACTTTCTGGCGGTTTGGGCGTTGTGCGCAGTGTTTTTTCGTTTCGGCCTGCCCCGTGTGGTTGGTTGTGGCAGGTCTTGATGATAATAGCCAACCGCACGCCGAAACCTTGGAGACGGACATGACCAGCGGTGCCCTCAGAGTGGGCATGCTCATTCCTAAACCGAAGGGAGGTGCGCAATCAACTGTTTCAACTTTCGTCGCCGGTTTTGCCCAGGGGTAGGGGAGGCGGGTGTACATTATGTCTTGTATCTTGCACTGATGTGGATATATGTGGTAAGTAACTGGGTGGAATAATTATGTGTGTGTTGGGGGGAGAGGCGACTCGCTAGGCTTTCATCAAAACGAACCATTCCGCTTCTTGCAAGCTTTCGGAGGAAGATGAGGATGTGGAGTAGAAGAGGGGTTCTTCATGATGATTGAGGATGAGAAAGCAGTAGGGTCTCGGCAACATTTGGGTGTGATTTGGAGGAGGAGGAAGAGGTGGAAGAGGAGGGTAACAATTAGGAGGAGGAGGAAGTTTAGGAGGAGGAGGGGGGGCATTAGGAATTCGGCCGTATCCAGGGATGATAGATGAGGAGGAAGCGATGACCACTAGGCACAGTCTATGAGGAAGAAATTGAAGACCATATGATCGTGATGACAGTTGTTATTGTGTGCGTTCAGCAATATCAGACGGGTCCGTGCATTCCCTCGGCATACGGGCAATTTCTTTGAGCGCCTGTGCGAAGCAACCCCCCCGCAGCCGGCATGTTTCCTCTACGCGCTTCCCGGGCCCTGCCCCTCGCAGTTTTTTGTTTTCGGCAGGACCTGCTTCACTGCTTTCCTCCCTCGGCGTTCCACGCCTGCTTCCAGGCCCCCCCCCCCCCGAGATATCCTCGCGTCGTGCAGGAACCGCGGCGGGATGCTTCTGGCATTTTGTGGCCCCTGGGCCCTTGCTGCGAAAAAAGGGGCGTCACATACATAGACTGTCGGAGCTCCGCGCGGACCTCTTGGATCTGCGCTGGACCCCCCTCCCTGGCGCGCGGGATGCGCCAGGGGGGCGGTCCCGAAGGCGCCCTCAGGGGTCCTCCGTGCAGGTCCGAGAAATCCGCGCGGAGCTGCGACAGTTTGTGCTGATACGCAGCTTTTTCTTTCTGCTGCCGGGCCCCGGGGCCGTAAACAAACGGCTCGGGACGAGAATGAAGTCGGGCATGTCCCTCTACAGGAGGAAACTTCAAGAATAGCCAAGAATAGTCAAGGGACGATTCTTCGCGCTCTTTTGACTATTCTGGAGTATTTTGATTTTTCATATGTCTCCTCAAATCCGCCTTTCGGAGGACATGCCCGACCTAAGACGAGAAGGCGGCCCCTGGGACGACCTCCGGCGGGAGCCGCGCCGCGAGCGCTGTCGGACGGCCGGGCCTGCTGCCGCCGCCGTGGCCCGCGCGCTCCGCCGCCACTGCCGCGCCGCTGGCCCCCGCCGAGGCCAAGGAGGAGACCATCTCGTCGCTCCGGACCAGCCTGCGGGACAGCGAGCAGGCGCCTGGCAGCCACGCGCAGAGGGGGGCGGGGGCAAGCCAGCGATTCGATGGTGCGCGGGCGTTCCATGATGATTCCCCGCGGTCCAGCTTGAGGAAAGCAACATGTTGGACATTTTCCCATTTTGAAATCGTCGCGGCTCCTTGGGGGAGCTCTGCTTGGCAAGCAGTCTAGGCCTTCCAGATGTGGTCTGAGCAGATGGGGTCGGAGGATCGCACCGCATCGTGGACGCATCGGCGATGCGGCTCGATGTGGAGACCGTGTTTCCCCACGCCGACGTCTCCGATGCATCGCCGACGCATCGCCGATGCATCGCCGATGCATCGCCGATGCGGCTGGACCCTTCGACCCAATCTACTCTGACCCCGTCTAGGAGGCCTCTATGTCGGCCACGCGCAGAGGGGGGTGGGGGCAAGGGGGAAGGCTTCTTAGAAGCACCCCTGCCACCTGTAGAAGTGTGGTGCCAGCGCCTTCTAAGAAGCGGCCTCCTTCTAAGAAGCCTTCCCCCGTATTCCTGCCCCCCTCTGCGCGCCGCCAAGCCTGGGGTCCCCTCTCAAACGCGGCCTCGTGATCTCTCTCCGGTTCTGTCAAAGAGCATCGAAGACGCCCCCTTCTCTGTCCTTAGTGGAATACCCACTTGGCAGCCTCTTGGGCGAACGTTTGGCCAGCCAGATTGCGCGGCTTGCTCCACGAGCCGCTGCCAGGGGACACATTGGGGCATCTTCGTGCCTGGGACATGTTCGTGCCTTTCGGGTGTCTCTCGCACTGTCCCAAGGGTTGTCTGAGACCTTCTTGGCGACCACAGGGGCCATCTTGGGTCTTGGGAGTGTCTTGAGATGACTTGGGAGCATCTTCGACCATATCGAAAGCCTCTCCAGAATGGCTCATCACCTCTCGAGTGCATTTTTGGCTAGTGCAGGAGCCTCTTGGGGACAGCTTTGAGTATCTCGAGGGCATCTTGGTTTATCTCGGGGGCCTATGGGGTACCTCCTGGGCTCACGTAGCCATCGGGACGACCCTTGGGTTAGAACAACTCGAAAGGCCACACCAAATCAACCAACACACATTTTTTGTGTGTATTTGTATATGTATATGTATATATATATATATATATATAGATATGCCTCCCACTTGGACGCTTGACAGCAACTTATTGTGGGTCTGCTGGAGATTTTATGGGCCCTTGACGGTTTCATGGTCCGCATGTGATGTCCTCTTGGCAAGCAGGTGTCATCATTGGTAAGTGTCATATCGGGGGTCCTTGGGGCCGTCATGAAGCCCTCTTTGGGCTAGCTTTAGGGTCTCTTGGCGGCCATTTTGAGCCGACAAGTCGATACGGATGGGGGTTGGCGGGCCCTTGTGAGCTGGGCCGCGCTCGCAGGGAAGGCAGCGCACTGGGACCGGGCGTCGGAGCATGTTCGACCAGGCTGGTTTTCCTTGTCTAAGGCACGGTCGAACGCTCTGATGGAGTCGAGAAGCTTTAGGGGGCCACATGCGAACCCTACCCCTACCCCCCTCGATTTCTGAGGGGGAGGGTGGGGTTCACTTCGTTCGGGAGCTCTCGAGCGAAGTGAACCCCACCCTCCCCCTCAGAAATCGAGGGGGGTAGGGGTAGGGTTCGCATGTGGCCCCCTAAGCTTGGTTTTCTTGCAGCCGAGATCGGGGCCTCCTGAGCACGGACCAGTACGGGCGGTGGCTTCGGACACTGGCATGTCAGCGGAGACTTGCAGAAGTGACAGAAGGGAGGGCGAGCTTGCTGGCAGGAGCTGGCCGGTGGGAGTCTGGCGTCGTGGTTTAGACTGTGCCGTTTCAGCGGCACGCAATCCCGTTACAGAACCAGCACGAGGTCTCCGGAGCTGAATCAAGGGCGGCATTGTGCTGAGAGGGCGTCTGATGGAAGTTGGCAGAAGTGAAGATTCTTGGCCTTCTCCCTTGGTGCCCCTGCTGGGCTCTTCACACTCTTCTCAGTATGGTAATGTGCGCCGCGTTATCTCGGTAGCTCGTTGAGGGCCCCACGCGAGACGTCCAAACTTCTTTCGGAGATCGACGATTGACGCCCCAGAGGTCCTTCACCGATGTCCGAGGCTCCCAGTGCCGGATCTGGCCATCTGTGTGTCTCTTCTTGGCACTGGCGTGAACAGGGCGCCCGCGAGAATATTCAGCGGCGGCGGCTCGCAGGGGGGTGGGACAAGGGGGACGGCCCTCTTTCAGGGCAACGTTAGCGGGGGGGATGCATCGACACCCAGTCGCTCATTCATCGCTGATAGGGGTCCGATTGCCCACCCCGCCCAGCAACGTGCGGATTCCGAATCGGGGGCCTGTCGCCGATCAATCCGCGATGTATCGCCGATGCCAGCCCGATGTTCCTCCCCGAGCCAGTCCCCCCCCTAACCTACCCCCTCAGCTCTTGGCAGGCAGGGGTCCACTTAGAATGAGTCGGCCCCTTCTGGGAGGCTTCACGAGGACACTCTTAGAGAGCGGGCCGCCCTCCCGCTCTGCCCCGCGGGCGCGCCAGCGCGCCTTCTGGGTCTCCAGTAGCTGCCTTCTTTCTTGCTAGCTCCTGGGACCGTCGCCGAGCCTCCACCGCGCCGTCGCGGCGCAGGCGGGTCAGGTGCGGGGGGGGGGGGGGCGGGGATCCGCGAGGCGCGGCCGCGCACCTGGGCACCCCAACCCAGACAGCCCTGATGAGCGGGCGGGCTGTATGGGCGCGATGCGTCAGAGAGGCTCCCCTCCCCCGTCTCATGTCACGAGGATCCCCCCTTCGGCAGGGCCTCGTGAGGCTCCACTGCCAGAGCACGCCTGGTGCAACGCCCGCGGCGAGCAGAATGCCTCCCCCTCGGATCCGTTCGGCTCTCGCATCAGTGCTGCTGCTGCTCCTCATCCTCCCTCCTTCCTCCTCCTGCTGCTCTGGTCAGCCTCCTGCTCCGATCACCCTGGCGCAGCGCCTCACCCATCTCCGTCACGCGACCGCTCGAGCCTGACTCCGATCAGCCTGGCGCAGCGTCTCCTGCTCTGATCGGCCTCCTGACTCCTGATCGCCCTGGCGCAGCGTCTCGCCCGTCTCCGCCACGTGACCGCTCGAGCCTGACGCTCCGCCCGCGCGCCGGATGGCGCACGGACGGTGCTTGAGCGGGCCCTCCTCCGACTCCAGGGCCTCGTGGCTCGGCTGCGCGCAAAAGGGACCTCTCGCGCTGGGGTGGCCCTGTGTCGCGGGTCCACCATGGGCCCCACCGCCCGGAAAGCGGTCCGCATTTGCATTTGCGCGCCTGGATTCGCCTCCCCCCCCTCCTCCTCCTCCTTCTCCTCCTTCTCCTCCTCCTCCTCCTCCTCCTCCTTTTCCTCCTTTTCCTCCTCCTCCTCCTCTCGCAGGCCTAGAGGTTGACACTAACACCAAGATCGGCGGTGTGCCTCCACCGAGGGAAGACGATCCCGATCTCGGTGATGGTGGCAATATTCTGGCTTCCCAGGTGACCGAAATATTACCACTAACACCGACATCTAGGATGATATTCCCCATGTGGAGACACCCCCCTGTGCTGGTGTTGGTGCCAATTTCCAGGCCTCCAATCCTCCTCCTCCTCCTCCTCCTCCTCCTCCTCCTCCTCCTCCAATCCTCCTCCTCCTCCTCCTCCTCCTCCTCCTCCTCCTCCTCCTCCTCCTCCTCCTCCTCCTCCTCCTCCTCCCCCCTCCCCCCTCCCTTCAAAGCCGCGCACCAGGGGCCACCGCGGCTCAGGGCGCCGCTCTCGCGCGCGGCCGAGTGGCCTCCTCTGCCTCTGCCGCGTCGTCGTCCAGGCCACCGTCGCTCCCTCGTCGTCGTCGTCGTCGTCGTCGTCGTCGTCGTCGTCGTCGTCGTCGTCGTCCTCCGCGCCCTCGGCGGCGCTCCGTGCGCCCCCGCGCCCTCTGCTCGAGAGACCGCGGCGAGGCCTCCAGGGACCGCTCCGAGTCGTCGCGGTCGCTGGAGCTCCTGAGGTCGGAGCTGCAGGCCGCCTCGGGCCGCTCCTCTCCCAGATCGGAGGTTGATAGACCTCCTACCCTGACACGTCGATTCGTGAATTGGCCGTTCTCGGTTCGCGGGAGCGGCCGTCCTTCTTGCGGGTCCAGCTCCGTCGCTTTCGGTCCCAGGCCGTTCTCACAAAAGGGTGGTTTGCTAAAGGGAGGTTTGTCCACCGCCGACCAGACCCCGGAGGTCGTGATTTCTGCGCAGCGTCGACCCCCCGAGGTCGGGACCCCTTCCCTGGGACCGGTTTTTCGTCCTGAGCCGTTTTTGGACGGTCCCGGCGCCCGGTGAGGGCCTCGCGGAGGCCGAGCGTGGCGCAGAAACCGCCCGCCGTGATTGTGCCGCAGCGCCAGGGGGTCGGGGCTGCTGGCTCCGCCCGCCCCTGCGAGGGCGGGCGGCGAGGGCACGGCCCCGCCCCCCGCCGCCCCCTGGCGAGGGCCCCTCCCCGGGCCCCCCCGCCAGGGGGGTGCCGGCGCCCTCCCCCCGGCCGAGCCAGGGAGGCGTGCGCAGCCACTCGATCCCGGGCCTCGCGGTGGGCCTGGCCAGGGGCGGGGGGTGGTCGTTGCCTTCTCCAGATCTCGTAATAAAAGGGAGGGGGTTTGGACCCTCCAAGACAAGCCATTTCAGACCCCCCCCCGTTGGAGAACCCTCCAAAACATCGTCCCCAGGCCCCCCCAGGCCCTCCAAGATAGCCTGGAAGAGACCCCCCCCGAAATGAGACCCCCCTCCCTTTATCACGAAATCTGGAGTAACATGCAGCCCCGATGCGAGAAGCCAGGCCTGTTTTGGCGCCACCAGCGGTGGTCCTTGTGGGCATGAAAAAGAGGCCTCGTTGGCTTCGTTTTTGTTAGGGACGGGCGCCTCTGGCCGTTTATAGGATCGTGTGGCTTTCCGTATCGGCGTATCGGGGTCGATCATCTTGCAACCAGGAGGTGCACGTGCATCCCCAGAGACCGAACGCATTTGAAAAATACAAGGCGGAGTTTTTTCGCAGGTTTAGGCCTCTGGGGGCCCTCGCCGGGCCCGAGGGTCGTCAAAAAAGGGTCAGGATGGAAGACCCGTCCTGGGGAAGGGGTCAAGACTTCCGGGGACTCCGTGTTGACAAAAATCACGACATCGGATCCCTGGGTGCATCTAGGCCTCCCGGATGGACCTGTCATGGCGGCTCCCCAGTCCTCATAAGTCGCGGCCTTGTTGGCGCCCGCCACCGTGTTGCAGTGCGCGATGGCCACGGACCGCTGATCCTCAGGACATGTCTTCGCCCAGTGTGTGTGTGTGTGTGCTTCCCGATTCAGCTTCATCGGCAGCACGCAGGCTGTGGCAGCCCTCCTTGCGCCGCCTGCGTGGCATGGAAGGGCTCTTGGCGCCAGCAGACGCCCTGTTGATCATCGCGGGGACCGCCGTCGCAGCCAGTCGCCCTTTCGGCTTTTCCTGCTCGTGTCGCGTCGGGCGCGGGCGGCCGTTCGGCGCGTCGGCGCGCGCGCGCCCCCGCCGAGCAAGACTGTGTGCGTGGGTGTTCCTGCTGCACTTTGTGCCCCTCGTTGCGCGCAGATGGTTCTCGCATTCTTCACCAGGCGCGTTCCACTACTCGCAAAGTCACTACTCGCAGACGTCAGGAAAACACATGCTTGCCTCGATGTAATGGAAGGTAGATCTCCCGCGGCGGAGTCAGGCCAATTGCGAGTAGTTACTTTGCGAGTCGTTGAACCCGCTTGTCTAATTCTGTTGGGCTCGGGAACTGCATTCCGGACTGGCGAATGTTTGAAACCCACCATATTTACACGTTCGTTTACATTGCGTGCGTTTTGGCCCTCGTGGACATCACCACGCGTTCGGCGTGATGTAGGATGCATCTCGTCGTCCTTGTTGTGCGGTTGCCCCGTTTGCGCTATTTCCGAGTTCCGTTTTCAAAGTCGAGTCACATGCATTCCGAACAATTTTTTCGTGCTTTCTTCATGCTCTATGCGTCGTCCAACTTGGTTTGTGCATGCTCTCCGGATAAATGCAAGCAAATCAGCTTGCGTGTGGGCGCGCGTGCGCATGGGTGGTGAATGGGTGGTGGGTGGTGGGTGTGGGGGCTGGGGGAAGGGCGGTGTGATGAAGAAAGGGAGGGTGAGACGACCGGTCAAATTGTCCTGGCGAAGGACTCAACCATACGCAGTTGTGAGTAACGCGTTGTGGGTGCCTCTTTCGGTGGAACTCCCAAAGGGGCCACGAAGCGCGTGAGGGACGTGCCATTATGGGTGTGGGAGACGCATGCCGGCGGTGCCACTGGGGCCTTCGATGGGGCTCCCTATGGGCTACGAAACGCTGTCCTGGGTGTGGCTGACGCATGCGGGCGGTGCCCCTCGCTGGAGCTCCCGATGAGGCTACGAAACGTTGTATTGGTTGGGGAAACGCATGCGGGCGGTGCCGCTGGGGTCTTTCTGTGGAGCTCCCTACGAGGCCACGAAACGCTGCACTGGGTGGTGGCCGACGCATGCGGGCGGAGCCACTGGGACCTTCGGTGGAGCTCCTTATGGGGCCACGGGAGGGGGGGACGCATGCGGGCGTTGCCACTGGGGCCTTCGGTGGCCACTGGAGCTCCCCACGGGGCCACGAAACGATGTGCCAGGTGGGGGGGGCGCATGCGGGCGGTGCCACTGGGGCTTGGTGGAGCTCCCAAACAATGGGGCCGCGAAATGCAGTACTGGGTGGTGGACGACGCATGCGGGCGGTGCCACTGGGGTCTTTGTGTCGATCGGGGCCACGAAACGCTGTACTGGTTGTGGCGGACGCATGTGGCCACCCCCGCTGGGGCCTTACGTTGAGCTCCCTATGGGGCCACGAAGCGCTGTACTGGGTGTGGCGGACGCATGTGGCCACCCCCACTGGGGCCTCCGATGGAGCTCCCTATGGGGTCACGAAGCGCTTTACTGGGTGTGGCGGTCGCATGTGGCCACCCCCACTTAGCTCTTCGGTGGAGCTCCCTATGGGGCCACGAGGCGCTGTACTGTGTATGGCGGACGCATGTGGCCACCCCCACTGGGGCCTTCGGTGGAGCTAGCTCCCTATGGGGCCACGAAGCGTGTGAGGGGTGATGATAGAGGCGATGATGCTGATGATGGGAAAGGGAGGGGGAGCAGCGGGAGGAGACGCGGGGCGATGTCTCTTCAAAACGAGGACCGAACACCACAGGATGGTTGGGACAAACATCGATGTGGGAAGGAAGCAAAGGAGGAGGAGGAGGAGGAGGAGGAGGAGGAGGAGGAGGATGAGGAGGAGGAGGAGGAGGAGGAGGCGGACGACGACGACGCTGACGACGACAGGCGGCGACGTCGTAAGTGGTTGGAGGACCATGGAGGAGCATGAGGAGGAAACAGCAGGAGGAAACGGATGTGGACGCGGAGGAGGAGGAGGAGGAGGAGGAGGAGGAGGAGGAGGAGGAGGAGGAGGAGGAGAATAGGAGGATGGCGTCGGGGGGCCGAGGAGGACGAGGAGGATTTCGACGACGATGTTGTAGGTTGGATTAGATCGTGTATGGGAACTTCCAAAGGCCTTCGGGTATGCCAGGCAGCACCCGAGGACCGCCGACCATCGATTGTGGGCCTCCTCCCTCCCACCCTCCCCCCCCCTCCCCCTCTCACCCTACCCTCCCGCCCCTCCTCACTCCTCGTCCTCGTCCTCCTCCTTTCGTCGTCCTCCTCCTCCTCCTCCTCCTCCTCCTCATCCGACGACGATGGCGGCAACGACGATAGCAGCAGCGACGGCGGCGGCGGCGCCGACGTCGGCGACGGCGACGACGAATTTTCGCGCGTCCTCTGGCGGGCATTCGCGGGCCAGCTGCAGCAGGGATACGCCGTGCCAGTGAACTCGCATCGCGTCCATCTTCCGTAGACGACGACCACGGCGGCAGCGACGGCGGCGGCGGCGGCGCCGACGGCGACGCTTACGACGACGACGGCGGTAGAGACGGCAGCGACGGCGACGGCGGCGACGCCGCCGGCGACGACGACGACGGCGGCGACGGCGGCGACGTCGACGACGGCGGCAGCGGCGACGGTCGCAGCGCCGGCGATGACGGCGGCGACGACGACGACGACGGCGGCAGCGCCGACGGCGACGACGACGACGACGACCTCGGCGGCGACGGCGGCTGCGGCGGTGCCGAGGGCGGCGACGACGACGACGACAACGACGACGACGACGACGACGACGACGACGACGGCGGCGGCAGCGGCGGCGGCGGCGTTGCCGACGGCGGCGGCGGCGGCGACGACGACGCCGACGATGGCGACGACGAAGGCGGCGGCAGCAATGGCGGCGGCGGCGGCGCCGCCGACGGCGACGACGACGACGACAACGACTGCGGCAGCGACGGCACGACGACGATGACGACGACGACGGCGGCAGCGACGACGGCGACTACGACGGCGACGACGACGACGACGGCGGCGACGCCGACGACGGCGGCAGCGGCAACGGCGGTTGCGGCGGCGGCGCCGACGGCGACGACGACGACAACGACAACGACGACGACAGCAGCGGCGACGGTGGCAGTGCAGTCGCCGACGTCGGCGACGACGACGGCGACGACGACGACCTCGGCGGCCACGACGGCGACTACGACAGCGACGACAACGACGACGGCGGCGACGACGATGACGACGACGACGGCGGCAGCGACGGTGGCGGCGGCGGCACCGACTGCGGCGACGACAACGACGGCGGCAGCGACGGCGTCAGCGACGGCGGCGGCGGCGGCGCCGACGACGGCGACGACGACGGCAGCAACGACGGCAGCGGCATGCGGCGGCGCCGACGTCGGCGACGATGACGGCGACAAGGACGACGTTTCGCGCGTCCTTTGGCGGGCATTCGTGGGCCAGCTGCAGCAGGGATACACCGTGCTAGTGAACTCGTCCGTAGACGACGACGGCGGCAGCGACGGCGGCGACGGCGGCGACGACGGCGGCGACGACCGCGACGACGACGGCGACAGCGACGGCGGCGCCGACGGCGACGTTGACGATGACGACGACGGCGGCAGCGACGGCGGCGGCGGCGGCGGCGTCGTCGGGCCGCCGCAGCCCCGTCCTCCCGTCCTCCCCGTCGAGGCGCGCCAGGCCGTCCACGACCTGGAGCTGCACCAGCAGCGGGAGAGACTGACCCAGGCGCGGGGGGGGGGGTCGGCCAGAGGAGGACACTCGGGGCTCATGTGGCGGGGGTCAAGATCAGCCAGAACGCTGAATCTTGCGGGACCCTGCAGTGCCAGGGGTGCATTGACCTTGGCTTGCGTGCAGGATCCTGCAGGATTATGCAGGATCCTGCAAAGCCCTTCTGACCTGGGTCTGCATTGACCCGGGTCAGTAGATCCACGAGACACGACACCGATCAGGCTATGCCCTGGCCGGCCTACGCCTTCGCGAGCTTTAGTGTGTCTCTTCCTCCTTCCTCCTCCTCCTCCTCCTAGATTTTGCTCCTTGTCCTCTCCTTCCCTCCCCTCGCCGGTGCTTTTCTACTTCTGGGATGTGATTGTAAATTCTGCCACTGGTTATTCTCTGCCGCGTTGGCAATTGGAGTCACGGTATGCTCGAGAGGTGATGCGGTCGTCAAGGACATGATAAGAGGAGACGACACCGATGCCGCTTCAGTCGAGTTTGATAAGCAGGTCGACCTTGCCAAATCAAGCGTACCCTTGTGCCCTGTGTGCTCGCGACCCATGCCTTCTACCTTCCTGTGGCAATGTGGCCCTCGGAAGGGTCCTCTCGCGGGTTCTCTCCAATCAAGCCAGACTGCACCCTTTTTTCCACAGGCGCCATTCAAGTTCGCTGAACAAGTCTGCGCAGGTCTCTGGAACTCTCCAGCTCCGATCCGAGAAATCCGCGCGGACCTCCGAGTTTTGATGTTCATGCCATTTTTCTTTCCCCTGGCGAAGGCACGGCCCGTGCAAGGCGAGGTCAGCTCGCAGGAAGCACCGCCAGGGCTTGCCCCTGCGTCTGCGCCAGATCTTGCACTTAACCGCGACGCCACCACGGCAGCGGGTGTCGTCGGCACGGGCCTGCGGCTCACGGCTGGAGGGGCTGGGTCACGGAGACGCCGGGCCATAGCCTCCATATCGCCCAATTTCGGAGACATGTAAGACTCGAGAAAGCCGGAACTCGGGTTTGCCGACATTTTTTTGACGAGCGCGTCCTGGATTTTTACGGTCCAGTTTCGTGGGACGTTTGCAGCGGGAGCTCGCGTCAGATTCTAGATTGGGTCTGGTCATTTTCATTGATGGCCCCGTCATGCCAACCCGAGTCCCCCGAACCCGAGTATTGCGTCTCCCCGACAATTCCACAAGCGCAACACCAGGGGCCAGCATGGGGTGCTCCCTATTCGGCAGGACACGAGAGGAGGGGGCCGTACCCCCCGCCCTGGCCCCCTCGGCTTCCGAGAGCCGCTCACGCGACGGCCTGGGTGCCTCTTTGGATCAAGGCGAGGGCGAGGGCGAAGATCAGGGGCAACGATCGGGGGGGATGGGCATAGGGGGGGATGCCTCGACCCCCGAACGCCCATTGATCGCCGATAAGGGCCCAATAGCCCAAACCTGCCCAGGAGCGTGCGGATTCACCATCGGGGGCCCATCGCCGATCCATCGGCAACGTATCGCCGACTCCAGGGCGATGCTCCCCCCCCTATGCCTATCCCCTCCTATCGTTGCCCTTCAGAGGAGGGAGGGGGGGACGATCGCCGACCAAAGCTCACAACCAAACTGCCAATCACCACCACGAAGAGCGAGACACGCCTGCACACACACACCACCAATCGCATCGGCGTCCAGCACCCGTAGATGAGCCCACTCACCAATGGACAGCCTCAGCGGAAAGTCACCACCCACCAAGCCACCCCAGCCCGACCCGAAGGCCCAAATTTACCCTCGATTTCCAGCAGGGGGGGTTCGGGGAACGTCGACAAAAACACATCGGGAAATCGTACCCCGCCCAGCCCGAATCCTGGGTCTTCGGGTGAGGTCGGGGTGGTCTGGCAGGCAGCCATGGGGAAGGACGTGGGGGCGGCGACGCCTGAAGACCGTGGCGGCAGGGGATGGCGGAGCACGGCGCAGGAGAGCCGCCATGCCGCTCCCGCGGTCGACCGTCGGAGCCTCGCCGTGACACGCGGAGGGCCACCGGAAGACCCACGGCCGGCAGGGCGCTGCCGCCGCGCAGCGTCACATGTCGAGGGCGCCCACGGCGCACCGTCGCCCTCTTTGCCTTTGGTGGAAGCGCCTTTGAGGCCGATCGTCGTGGCCACTGCTCGGCCAAGTTATCGGACTGTCTGTTCAGCCAGCCGTTGCGGAAACCCTCTAGTGAACGAGCGGGGGTAGTAGGCAATCAGAATACGAGTACTAATAATGTAGTAATTTTGGTATTGCTAGTCCAATGCAAGTGATCGTATTCATACGTGCGAGAGTCATGCTAAACCTAATGCTACTATTATTAACCCTGGTACTACTATGCCTAATCATGTTAGTAATGTTAGTACACATAAGAATGCTAGTAGTACTGGTCATGCTTACAAGGAAAACGAGTCATATTAAGAATACGAATTCGAAGCATATTAAGCCGAATGGTGATACTACTGAGCATAATCATATAATTCATAATGACATACACACTCATATCACTAATCGTAGCCCCGATAAGCCCGAACAGGTGGGCCGCTCAGGAAACGGGGGAAACTTTGAGATACACCCCCCAGAGGGCTATTCGGACGCACCACCATCGAGGATGGGCGCCCCCACCATCGCATATCCCAGAGTTGAGCTCACAGTGTTTGGTCCAGTCGAACGCCCCCCCAAATTCGGGGAGTGCGGCCGCCATAATGGGCCGTCCCACCCTCGCGGGGCCATAGTAGCTCTGCCCCACCAGCCCTCCCCCCCAGGTAGGGATAGGCCCCGCGAGACCCGAGGCAACAGCCACATATCATTATCCCCCACCCAGGTGGGTGAGCCTCAGGAGGGGACAAAACGACATGCTTACACTACCGAGGAACCCCACATACCTATTTCGTGGTATGTGCGCGCCACGGCTGCCACGCCTGCCACGCCCCGCGACTCTGGGACGGCTAGCCACCGAGTTGAGGGACCACCCCCTGCGCACCCCCTGTGGTGTGAAGAGTACCGCGCCTGCCACGCGTGACCCTGAGACGGATAGAGACCGCGGTGAGGGCCCCCCCCTTGCGCACCCCCTGTGGTGTGGAGACAGTGCCACGCTTGCCACGCCCCGCGACCCTGGGACGAATGGAGGCCGCGGTGAGGGACCACCCCCTACGCCCCCCCTGTGGTGTGGAGGAAGTGCCACGCCTGCTACGCCCCGCGACCCTGCGACGGATAGGGACCGCGGTGAGGGACCACCCCCTACGCACCCCCTGCGGTGTGGCGGACGCCCCGCGACCCTGGGACGGATAGAGACCGCGGTGAGCCCCCCCCCCCGCGCACCCCTTGTGGTGTGGAGACAGTGCCACGCCTGCCACGTCCCGCGACCCTGGGACGGATAGACGCCGCGGTGAGGGACCACCCCCTACGCCCCCTGTGGTGTGGGGGAAGATGCTACGCTTGCCACGCCCCACGACCCTGGGACTGATAGAACACACGGTGAGGGACCCCCCCTCATACCCCCTCTGGTGTGGAGAAAGTGCAACGCTTGCCGCGCCCTGCACGCATGCAACGCATAGAGGCCGCACCCCCTGTGCACCCCCTCTGGTGTCGAGAAGGTGCCACGCCTGCCGTGCCCTGCATGCCTGCAACGCATAGAGACCGCACCCCCTGCGCACCCCCTCTGGTGTCGAGAAAGTGCCACGCCTGCCATGCCCTGCGCGCCTGCAACGCATACAAACCGCACCCCCTGCGCACCCCCAGCGGTGTCGAGGAAGTGCCACGCCTGCCGTGCTCTGCGCGCCTGCAACGCATAGATGCCGCACCCCCTGCGCACCCCCAGCGGTGTCGAGGAAGTGCCACGCCTGCCGTGCTCTGCGCGCCTGCAACGCATAGAGGCCGCACCCCCTGCGCACCCCCAGCGGTGTCGAGGAAGTGCCACGCCTGCCGTGCCTTGCGAGCCGTGCCCTGCGAGCCTGCGGTGCCCAGTTTGTGGCGCATGCGTCGTGGGTGTGTGATGCAGTGAACACGCCAGGCGTGCACTGGCGTTGTTCGTGCGTGTGTGTGTGTGTGTGTGTGTGTGTGTGTGTGTGTGTGTGTGTGTGTGTGTGTGTGTGTGTGTGTGTGTGTGTGTGTGTGTGTGTGTGTGTGTGTGTGTGTGTGTGTGTGTGTGTGTGTGTGTGTGTGTGTGTGTGTGTGTGTGCGAGTGTGTGTGTGTGTGTGTGTGTGTGTGTGCGAGTGTGTGCATGCGTGCGGCTGCATGTCGACGCGTGTCTCATGTGCGTACCGTGCATGTATTGCCTGTGGACGAGGCGAGAGAGGAAGAGGAGATGAGGAGGGAGGAGGGCAGGAGGTGAGTGGATGAGTGAGACGCGGGTGCGCCGCGGGTGGGAAGAAAACAATAATCCCATTAAGCATGTGGGGAATCCATCGTCGAATCCCAGAAGGATATGGGAAAATATGGGAAGTGGGGGGGAAGACGAAAACCCAGAAAATATGTGAACATATGTGGAGTCTTGCGATTTGTGTCTATTTATTTGTGTGTCTCTGGGCCCCTTCAAAGTCGGCCAGTGGGCCCCACGGGGCTCGGTGAAATTGATGCTCCTTGGCTGGAGCTAGAGCTGCAGCGGGGGGCCGAAGGTGGGGCCGGAAATGGAGTCGTGGATGGGGATGGCTGGAGCTGGGGCTGGAGGTAGAGCTGGGGCTGGGGCTGGAGGCGGATATTCAAGAATAGTCAAAAAGTAGTATGGGAACGATTTTTCGATGATGTTGGACTATTTTAGGATATTGGATAGAATTTGAAACACAATTCCTTCAAATCTGGCTGTAGGAAAAAATGCCCGACATACAGCTAATCTTGAACTGGGGTTCGCGTTAGGACTGCAGCTGGAGCGAAGCTGGACAAGCGCCCGAGCAGAGCGGGCGCCCCCGCGCGGCCGAGCTCCTCCGGGGAGCCCCTGCCCATACGGCCGCGGATGGTGGTGACATTGGCAAGGGTGGAGATGCTGGAGGAGGAGGAGGAGGAGGAGGAGGAGGAGGAGGAGGAGGAGGAGGAGGAGGAGGAGGAGGAGGAGGAGGAGGGTGGTGGTATGGTGATGGTGGTGGTTCGGCGGCGAGCGAGCGGGGGGGGAAGTGAGAAGGAGAAGAGAAGACCTTCTCAGAAGGCTCGGGAGTCCCCCGGCCTTCTGAGAAGTTTCCCGACCCTTCTCCGGAGGCACAGAAAGCTTCATCAGAAGGTGCGAGGGTTTCTGAGAAGTCCTGCCGCCTTCTGAGAAGGCCTTCTCCTTCTCACTCCCCCCCCTCGCTCGCCGCCGAGTGGTGATGTGAGGCCCTCGGCGCTGCAGACGGGTGCCTCGTAGCTGGAAGCATCGGGAGCACCCCTATCTGCGTTCAGGAACTGCAGCTACAGTGGAGGCCAAGCCAAGAAACACCCTGCTTGCCTCCAGGGTGCCCTGGGTTTCTTGGGTTTCAATGGTTTTGCTATGGAACGCGTGACGTTCCCACGCCAAAAATCAATAGGCGTCCTGGTGTTCCAGGGTTGCGTTGATGGTGGAAGGTTTCTTGTGGTCGGGCTTCCATTGTAGTCGAAGAAGAGAACGGCATAAACATACACTTTTGGCGCTCCGCACGGATTTCTTGGATCCGCGCTGGGGCCCCCTGGCGGCGCCTGTGGCGCCGCCCCTGGCGCGACCCGCCTGCCAGGGAGGGGGGTCCAGCGCAGATCCCAGAAATCCGCGCGGAGCGTCAAAAGTTCAGGCTTATGGCGTTTTTGTGTTCTTCTGGGTAGGTGGTGGTATGGTGATGGTGGTGGTGATGTGAGCCCTGGGTGCTGCAGACGGGTGCCTCGTAAGTGGAAGCATCGGGAGCACCCTCATCTGCTCTCAGGCAATGCAACCACGAGCCTTGCTTTGGTGCCCACGCTGGCAGAAGGAGGAGGAGGAGGAGGAGGAAGAGGAGGAGGAGGAGGAGGAGGAGGAAGAGGAGGAGGAGGAGGAGGAGGAGGAGGAGGAGGAGGACGAGAAGATCCCCCTGCTCGCCAGGAGCACCGCCAGCAGATGTCGGCGCTGCAGGAGGAGCTGCGGCCAAGCCCTGCCTTTCCCGGCCGGAGGCTTCGGAGCCGGCGAGCCGGCGGTGTCGGCAGAGATGTCCAGGATGGGAAGAACACACCGACACAACTAATCTTCGACTCCCGAGACAAGATGGGAAGATTTGGGAAGTGGGGAGAGGACGAAAACCCAGAAAACATGGGGAAGTATGGGGAATCCTGGGATTCATGTGTGCATTTTTGTTTGTTTGTTTGTTTGTTTGTTTGTTTTGTTTTGTTTTGTTTTGTTTTGTTTTGTTGTGTGTGTGTGTGTGTGTGTCCTAGGGCCCCTTTTGAGAGGTGTGGGGGAGGGGGGAGGCGCCGCCACGGCGCTGAGTGGGGTGGGGTGCATCTACCACGCTGGCTCGCCACTTGCGACCCATGGGGTGATTGCAGCCTTCTCTTCGCCTCTCCACTCGCCCCCTCCATGTATATATATATATATATATATATAGTTATTTCTCATGTGTATCTATATACATATATACATATATATATATATATATATATATATATATATATCATATACCGGGGTACCGGGGGCCGGGGGCCGGGACACCCTCCCGAATTTCCCCCCCCCCCCCCCCCCCGTAACCCACTTTGCCCCCGGGCGTCCGGAGGCTCTTTTGCGCCCCCGGAGGCGTCCACCACGGCTTCCGGGGATGGCAAGAAGCTACCATAAGACGGCCCAAGAGCGCTCCAAGACTCTCAAGATAGCCCCATCAAGGCCCAAGGGGCCCCCAAGAAGCCCCAGGGGCGCTCCGAGAGGCTTTCCTAGAGAGCCCCAAGAGGCTAAAATCATAGATTTTCATTGTGTTTTTCAATGCTTTTTGCTTGCCCGCGTTTTCGGGCTTCTGACCTTCCAAGATTGCCGAGGAAGCCTTGAACATCGCCCCAAGACGGCCCAAAAGGCCCCCGAGAGGCCCCCATACATATGGCCTCGCTTGATCGAGTAATCATCTTGTACAGCGTAAGCTCCACAGTGAGATGGGCCTCGAACATCCAACGAGACCCTGGACTAACCCCCGGCGGCGCCCAAGAGAGCCTTCTCTGCTGGGGCCAGGCTCATGTTGATTTTTCAAACCATGCTGAAGCCATTCGTCGGTACGTGCCTTCGTGCAGCCGTGACTTTGTCAATGCGCGCAGCCGTGGTATTGTCAAGCGCCTGCGCTTGCTAGAACCTCAGAGCGCGAAGCGCGCGCGTGGTTCTAGTATATCTATATCTGTAGGTATGTATGTATATATATATATATATATATATGGCCGCCTCCATTTTGCGCATTCGCTGTTCGAGTGCCTCCCCCAGAAGTGGAGGGGGAGGGGCAAGAGGGGTGAGAGGGAGGCAACAAGCAACGTTGCTGCCAGCGGTCGCACCCCCCGTCCCTGGACGTGCAGGTCTGGGCTGGATTCCCTTATCTCTTGATCTTGTTTGCTGACGCGCGACCGTGTGGCTTGGAGACCCCCCAGCATTGTATCTTGGGGCCTCTGCCAGGTCCTGGGGCCGGCCAAGAACGACTCGGGATGAACAGCCAGTCCCCGGGGGGAGGTCGTTCAGAGCTTAACGATTTCTGCTGTCCCTCGACTCGCGTTGGAGCGTCCGCGATTTGCTCCAGATGTCCATGACGGTCTTTGGATTTATCTCCACGTATCTGGATGTACCTCAATATACCTGCTTTTACTTCGATATATCTTGCCTGACCACCGCAAATCAATGGTACAAAAGTGGTCAAGCCCTTAGGGCGACGGGGCCCAGACCTCTGGGGAGCCACACTGGGAAACAATCACAGCGTCGGATTTCTGGAGTTCTCGTCCCCGCCTGGGGGATAGGATTAGAGAGGGATGCATCGACCCTCCATCACCCATTGATTGCCGATGGGGCCCTGATGGCCCACCCCGCCCAGGACCGTGCAGTTCCTCTTAATGGGGGACCTATCGCTGATCTCTCGGCGATGTATCGCCAGCTCGCTGTTCCCTTCCTGGGGCTGGTTCCCTCTATCGTCCCCCCTCGCTTTCTCCCCCATCCACCTCAAGACCGCTGCTTTCCCGTGGGAGTGGTGCCCCCTCCAGGCTGGCACCAGCACGCCTGGCGCCCCCGTGGAGAGCCGAACCGACCAGACCCCCCGCCCCCCCCCCCCCCCACCTCTCACCGCCCACCAAACCACCCCAACCCAACCCGAAGGCCCCGATTTGCCCTCCATTTCCAGAGGTGGGGGTTTCGGGGAACATTGAACAAAAACGTGTAGACCCCGCACCCCCCCAACCCGAAATTCGGGTCTTCGGGTCAGGTTGGAGTGGCCTGGTAGGCAGCCCACCTCAGGGTCTATCTGGATCCGATCGATCTGGCTCGATGTCGATTCCGGCTGGCCCGATCTGGGGGTCGCTCCCGATCTCCCGATGCCCCGATGCGGCTCGATGCTTCTATGGCGATCTGTCGTGCATCCTCGCGCGGCCGATCCGCTCCGACTCGCGGCCCGATCCGACGCCCGCTCCGCTCCGACCCGGCGTCGGGACCCGGGGCCGGGCTGTCCTCCCTGCCGCCTCGCCCCTGCAGCAGCAGGAGCGGGTCGAGGCCTCGCAGGTGCACACGCTCAAGCTCAGCGAGGAGGCCCGTCCCCCTCGCGCGCCCGCGCGCGCGCGATCGGCCGCGCGCCCTCCTGCCCTCCCTCTCCCTCCTTCCCGCCCTTCCCTCCCTCCCTCCTCCCTCCCTCCTCTCCCCTGCTCCCTCCCTTTTCCCTCCCTGGCTTTCTCCTCCCTCCCCTGCTTCCTCCTCCCTTGCCTCCTCCTCCCTCCGCCCTCCTGCCTCTCTCCCCTCCTCTCTCCTCCCTCCGCCTCCCCCCCGTCCTTCCTCCTCCCTCTTCCTTCCCTTCTCCTGCCTTTCTTATATTTTTTCCTTCGTTCCTTCCTTCCTTTCTCCTTCCCTCTCTCCCTCCTCTTCCCTACTCTTCCCTCCTCCTTCCCCCCCTGTCTCCCTACCTCCCTCCCTCGCTCCTCCTTCCCCCCCCTCTCCCCCCCCCTCTCCTCCTCCTCCCTGCCCTGTCTGCCTCATGTCTATGGCTCCTTCCACCCTCGTCCTCCCTCTCCCCCCTCCTCCCTCGTCCTTCCATCTCCCCCCATCCTCCGTAGTCCTCCCCTCTCCCCCCCTCCTCCCTCCTCTCCTCCCCCCTCTTTCGTAGTATCTGCTTTATTTCAGGTCAACCGTTCCACTTACCTAAAGGTGTTTGAGCGGATCTCCGAGTATGTCGTCGTTGTTTCCTGCTTCTGAGGGGATGCGATGGCCCTTAGATCGCCCAAGAGAGCCGCAAGAGCGCCCATGCTAGCCTCAAAGCAGCCGCATATGCCTTCCCCCCAAGAGCTTCCTATGATAGCCTCGCTGCATTGTTCCCAACCATCCTGTGGTCTTGGGTCGTCGTTTTGAAGGGACAGCGCCCCGCGTCCCATCTCGTCTCCTCTCCTCCCCCTCCCCCCTTCCCCCTCCCCCTCCCCCTCCCCCTCCTCCGCCTCCTTCTCCTCCTCCCCCAAGAGCTTTCTATGGTTGCCTCGCTGCTCTGTTTTTCGGGCTCCAGTGGGGCAGTCGTTCGCTTCCAGGATTGCTTTAAAGGGCCCGCAAGGTTCCCAAGAGGGCCCTCGGCGATCCCAACAGGTGCCGCCGCTGCTCCCGACGGCTCTCAACACGATTTGCTGCAAGAGAGCCGCATGAGGTTCACAACATGTTCCCAACAGGTTTAGAAAAGAGGCTCCCGTAGGTCTCTCAGCGCTTGACGTGTGCTCCCCCCATCACGCGCCCTTCTTGTGCGTCATAGCCGTCTTCTTTTTCCCAATCATTTCGTGGTGTTGGGTTCTCGTTTTGAAGACAGCGCCCTGCGTCTCACTCCTCCTTCCTTCCTCCTCCATCCTTCTTCCTCCCATACCTGCCTCTGCCCTCCGCACATCCATTTCGGCGCGACCCTCACACGTTTCGTGGCCCCAAAGGGAGCTCCACCTAAGGCCCACATCTCTGCGTCCGCATGCCTGGTCCACGTAATTTCGGCGCACCCCTCGCACGTTCCGTGGCTCCATAGGACGCTCCACCTGTGGCCCACCAATCTGCGTCCGCATGCGTGGTCCGCGACAGTTCGGCGCACCCTTCACATGTCTCGTGGCCCCATGGGGGGTCCCACCCAAGTCCTACAAATCTGCTTCCGCATGCCTGGTCCACGCCATTTCGGGACACACCTCACACGTTTCGTGCCCCATACAGGGTCCACTTTAGGCCCAACTATCTGCGTCCGCATGCCATGTCCACGCTATTCTGGCGCACCTCTCACACGTTTCGTGGCCCTCTAGGCCATCTGGGGGCACCACTAGGCCTACACATCTGCGTCCGCATGCCTGGTCCACGCTATTTCGGCGCGCTCCTCACACGTTTCGTGGCCCCATAGCGACGAGCTCCACCTAAGCCCCAAGCATATGTGTCCGCATGCCTGGTCCGCGCCATTTCAGCGCACCCCTCACACGTTTCGTGGTCCCATAGGGAGCTCCACCCAAGGCCCAAACGGCTGCGTCCGCATGCCTGGTCCACGCCATTTCGGCACATCCCTCGCACGTTTCATGGCCCCTTCGGGAGCTCTACCTGAGGCCCCAGTGGCTGCGTTTGCATGACTTCTCCACGCCAGTTCGGCGTACCTCTCACACGTTTCGTGCCGACCTAAGGCCAAAGTCTGCGTCCGCAGGCCTGGTCCAAGCCATTTCGGGACACCCCTCACACGTTTCGTGGCCCGAGCTCCACTTGAGGCCTCAGTGGTTGCGTTCGCATGCCTGGTCCACGCAGTTTCGGCACACCCCTCAAACGTTCCATGGCTCCATAGGATGTGTCACCTGAGGCCCCCGTGGCTGCATTCGCATGACTTCTCCACACCATTTCGGCGCACCCCTCACACGTTCGGTAGTCTCCTAGGGAGCTCCACCTGAGGCCCAAGGTGGCTGCGTTTGCATGATTCCTCCATTCTGGCGCACCTCTCAACCTTTTCGTGGTACCACAGGGCGCTCCACCTGAGGCCCCAGTGGCTGCTTTCGCATGCTTTCTCCACGCCAGTTCGGCGCACATCTCACACGTTTCGTGCCCCCATAGGGAGCTCCACCTGAGGCCCAAGGTGGTTGCGCCCGCATCCCTTCTCCACACCTTTTCGGCACACTCCTCACATGTTTAGCGGCCCCACTGGGAGCTCCACCTGAGGGCCTCAGTGGCTGCTGTCGCATGCCTTCTCCACACCATTTTGGCGCACCCCTCACATGTGTCGTGCTCCCAGAGGGAGCTCCACCAGAGACTCCTTAGTGGCAGGACTTGCATACGTGATCGCGTCCATTTCGACACACCACTCACACGTTTCGTGGCCTCATTGGGAGCTCACACGTCACCGCGCCAATTTCGGCACACTTCTCACAAGTTTCGTGGCCCCCACGGACGACGATGACGACGACGGCGACGTCGACGACGACGATGATTACGACGACGACGATGACGACGACGACTTCGCTTTGGCCCCTTGGGGCCATCTTGGGGGCGCTTTTGGGGCTCTCTGGGGCCTCTTGGGTGCCTCTTGGGAGCTTCTTTGGGCGCCTCTTAGGGTCTCCTGGGGGCCTCCTAGGGGCCTCGGGGTTTGGAAGGCGCGAAATGTCGGCTGGTGTTCCCCCTCTTGGGAGTGAGCAGCGATCCATCGCTGCTAAAAAGTTTCCTCGGATTCTGGTCAGTGCGCCCGATCTCATATCATTCTAGGCCTCTCAGACAGGGTCCGAGTAGATGGTGGCGGAGGATCGCGCCGCATCGCCGATGCACTGGCGATGCGGCTCGATGCGGAGCCCGATTTTTTCTCCGCGCCGATGTCGCCGATTCATCGATACAAGATCGAGGTCGGTTCGGGGAGGGCACCCTGGCATTCTTCGTGTTTTTCTTGGATGTTCTTGTGCATCCTGGGGAGGATGCCCTTGCATGTCCTGTGTGTTCGGGCCGGCGGAGGGTCTCGCGATAACGCAGTTGGAGGAGGAGGGGGAGGAGGAGGAGGAGGAGGAGGAGGGGGAGAGGAGGAGGAGGGGGGGGGAGGAGGGGGAGGAGGAGGAGGAGGAGGAGGAGGAGGAGGAGGAGGAGGAGGAGGAGGAGGAGGAGACTGCATGATGCTCGCAAGCACGAGCCGCGCCCGCGGAGGCTTTCGGGCGGCGCGCCCTGGACGAGCGGCAGCAGGCGGGCGCGGCTGTCGCGGCCGCCGTCCCAGGGGCAACGACGGGGGGGGGGACTGGCAGTAAGTCTGGCATGTCCCAGAATGGTCAAAAAAGTATGGGGACGATTCTTCGTGCGTCCTGTACTATTTTTGAGTATTGTTTGATTCGTTTTTGACTACTAGTCAAAAGTTAAGGTTCTATTTTTCTGAAGGTCCGCCTGTAGGAGGACATGCCCGACCTGAGACTGGCACAGGGAGGGGCGCATCGACGCATCGACCCCTGAACTCTCAGGAGGGGAGAAACACACAGACACAATTAATCGTCGATTCCAAAGAAAATGTAGGAAACTATGGGAAGTGGGGGGGAAGACAGAAGCCTAGAACATATGGAAGAATACGGGGATTCCTGTTGTTTGTGTGTATTTATTGGTGTCGTTGTGGGCCCCGTCAAAATCATCCACCCCCACCCCAATCTCCCATCCCTCGCCGATGGGGGCCTGGTGGCTCGCGCCGCCCAGGAGTGTGCGTTGTCGCCGTTGGCGGCCTGTCGCCGATCCATCGGCGGAGTCACGCCGACTCGAGCTCGATGCCTCCTCCTCTGATCTGGCTCCCCCGCCTTCCCGTGTCGCTCCCCTTCGCCGCCGCCGCCGCCGTCGTCGTCGCGGCCAGGGCCGCCGCCGCCGCCGCCGTCGTCGTCCTCGTCGTCGTCGTCCTCGTCGTCGTCGTCGTCGTCGTCGTCGTCGTCGTCGTCGTCCTCGTCGTCGTCGTCGTCGTCGTCCTCGTCCTCGTCGGCGTCGTCGTCGTCGGCGTCGTTCTCCGCTGGCTTTCAGTCGGGGGGGAAACGAGCAGCACGGAGCGGGCGCGCGTTCAGCTCTCGGGCACGCCCTCCACGAGCAGTACGGAGCTGGCGCGCGTTCAGCTCTCTGGCGCGCCCTCCTCCAGCGGTGCAGCCCGCGGCGGTTTTCCCGCGCCCCTGCAGCCGAGGGTCCGGCGTGCCCCTTCGTGTCGTCGGTGCAGTTAGGTCTGGCCCTGGGCTGCCGGGTCCGCAACAGCGGATCATCCGGGTGAAGCACCCAGCCATCACGCGTTGTGGTTACAGTTGGCTTCTCCTCCTCCTCTTCCTCCTCCTCGTCCTCCTCCTCCTCCTCCTCCCTCTCCTCCCCCTCGTCCTCCTCCACCTCCCTCCGTACAGTCGGACCGATGTATCAGATCGAGGTCGGTTCGGGGAGGGTGCCCTCATGTTCTTCGTGCTTGTTGACTGCTCCTGTGCATCCTGGGGGGAGGGTGCCCTCGGATGTTCTTCAGTTTGGGCTAGCGGAGGGACTCGTGTTCTTGAGGGATGTTCTGCTGTCCTAGGTCCGACTGTCTCCTGGCGAGGCACCCAGCCATATGCAGTTGTGAATAACGCGTTATGGTTGCTGCTTTCGGTGGAGCTCCTTATGTGGCCACCAAGCGCGTGAGGGGTGTGCCGTATTGCTGGTGGTGGGGAGCGCATGCGAATTGTGCCATGGGGGCCTTGGGTGGAGCTCCCTGCTCCCTGTGCGGCCACGAAGCGTGCGAGGGGTGCGCCGAGATGGGCCTGGGGTCCGCATGTGAACGTCGCCAATGAAGCCTCTGGAGCACGCGGCCACGGCCACTGGAGCCTTCAGTGGAGCTCCGTATGGGTCCACGAAACGCTTTACATTGTGGAGGAAAAGCATGCGGCTGCGGCCACTGGAGCTTTCGGTGGAGCTAAGCGCTTCATTGGATGGGGGAGACACATGCGGCCGCGGTCACTGGAGCCTCAAGTGGAGCCCCGTATGGGGCCACGAAGCGCTGTACCGGGTGGGCGAGACGCATGTGAACCCTCCCACTGGGGCCTTCGGTGGAGCTCCCTATGGGGCCACTAAACGTGCGAGAAGTGTGCCGAAATGGGGCGGGGAGACGCATGTGGACCCTCCCACTGGGGCCTGCGGTGGAGCTCCCTGTGGGGGCGCGAAACGTGTGAGGGGTGTGCCGAAACGGGGTGGGGAGACGCATGTGGACCCTCTCACTTGGGCCTTCGGTCGAGCTCCTTATGGTGGCACGACACGTGTGACGGGTGTGCCGAAACGGTAACATGCGGAGGGTAAAGGCAGGGATGGAATGGGAGGATGGGGGGGGAGGAGAGGAGGAGGACGTGGGGCACTGTCTCTTGAAAACGAGTGCCCAACACCGTCCGATAGTTTGGAAAAAGTGCAGTCAAGTCCGTCATCTCTCTCTTCCTGGTCTTCCTAATCATCCCACCATTCGAAAGAGCGCGTTCTGCGGTGGCTTGGAGGCGGGGAGTTTGAAGCCGGACCCCCCCTCCCTGGATTGAAGGGGCAGGGGGGGTTCGAACCCCTCCCCCCTTCTTCCGTGACGGAGGGGGAGGGGGGGGGGTTCGAGCCCCCCTCCCTCTCCTACCTCCTCCCCTACTTCTCCTCTCTCCCTCTCCTCGGGCCGGCGCCGGCGTCGGCGGCGGCTGGTGGTGGCGGCTGAGAGCGTCGACGAGGACGGCGACTTCATTTTCCGGGCGGGCCCCAGCGCCTGCGGCGGCTGGCGGCGGGGAGCGTCGACGAGGACGACGTCGACGGCGGTGGTGTGGTTGTGGTGGAGGTTGTGGTGGTAGATTGTTGTGGTGGTGGAGGTGGTGGAGGTGGCAGTTGTGATGGAGGTTGTTGTGGTAGGTTGTGGTGGTTGTGGAGGTGGTGGTCGTGGCGGTTGTGGTGGTGGTGGTGTGGTGGTTTGTGGCGGTGGTGGTGGTTGTGTGGTGGTTGTTGTGGTTGAATTCTCATTTCTGAAGAATAATTATTGTTGATCCCCCCCATGGGTGCATATTGTTTTTCTCAATCAAAGTGTGCCCCTCGACGCTCGCACCCTGTTTTTGACAGGGAAAGTCTTGATGCTCAAACTGGCCCCCTGGCCCCCAGGTTACAACAACAACGGCTCCCGCCTGAGACTTCCTTTTAGCCAGGACCCCCGCTCCCGCCCGAGACTTCCTTGCATTTTATTCAGGAATCGCGCTCTCGCTTGCTCTTCCGGGGCGTTCGCCAGGGTGACGTCTTGAGTCCGTCTTTATTCAACGCAGTAATTGAGATGGTGTTCAACAGATGGAAGGGCCGCCTCACAACGCAGGGATGGGAATTCCCAGGACAAGCAGAACGCCTCACGAGTATCCGATTCGCAGACGATGTGTTGCTTTATGCCCGGTCGCTGGAGGACGCCAAAATTATGCTCTCGCTCTTAATTGAGGAATTCCAGGCCGTGGGGCTGCAACTGAAAGCCGCGAAGACCAAGATCTTATCCTCCAGAGACGTTGGTGCGCCACCCGGCACTTGCAAAATCGAATGGGTTGCAGGCCGCTGCTTTCACGTGCTGTCCCCGGACGAATCTCACGCATATTTGGGGAGAGCCCTCAACTTGTCAAACAACAGGGCAACAATTGCCGTGAAGAGGAGGATATCAGCGGCATGGCACCAATTACAGAAAAGAGCGCCAAATTCTGATGAGCCAGCATGTCGGTGCCGGTCATCGCATCAAGCTCTTCAACTCCACGGTCTTGCCGGTCTTGTTGTACGGGTTGGCCAGCCTGGCGCTGAAGCCGCAGCACCACGCCATGCTCCGGGGAGCGCGGACAAAGATGCTCCGAAATATGGCTGGCTGGAGGAGAGCGGAAGGCGAGAGCTGGCAGGACACGATGCGCAGGATGCACACGCGCGTGTCGAACATGCTGTCCACGGCGACCTCCCCAGACGTGTCGGAAAGGATATTCTCTTTGAAGTTGCGGCTGGCTCGCCGGCTCTTCTGTGGAGGAGTTGAGAAATGGGCGCCCGTTCTTCGACATCTGCAGTCTGCTCACAAGCGAGCACGAGGCAGACCACCGCTGCCATGGATGAGTGACCTCAGACAGTTCTACACGCAAGTCGGGGCAGATTCTCTGGAACAGGCGCTGCAGACGCCGGGCAGGGAGAAACAGTACATCAAGTTCTGCATGATGAAGTTGTGATGCTCCTCCCTCCTCCTCCCTCCCTTTTCTCCCCCTCCTTCTGTTGCATTTTTCCGAATTCCCAATTCCACATTCTGCTCACGTTTCATATCTGTTGTCTGGCTGGTAGTCGAATTGTACACCCATGCCCTGCACAGGGCCGAGCAGCCGACAGGCATGCTCGCGTGGTTCGCTCGCTCGCTCGCGCTCTCGCTTGGGACTTCCTCACCATTTATTCAGGAATCGCTCTCCCGGCGCTCTGGAGTCGCGCTCTCGCTGGAGACTTGCTTGCAACTTACTGAAGAATGGCCTTGCGTTGGAATTTCGTGCAATTTGCCCGAACGCCGCGCTCCCGACGCCCAGGCACCCAGGAGTCGCGCCCGTTGTGGCCCCATGTGCATGCCCTTCATGGTCCCGCTGTCGCCATTTGTGTCTCCCTCACTGTCCTACGTGGCCCAGTTGCTACCCGCAGTGGTCACATAGTTGCCTCCTGTGGCCCCGCATTATCTGCACTTCGTGGCCCCCGTTCGTTCGCGCTCTTCGTGGCCCCATACGCATTCCCTTCGTGTCCCCGGTGTCGCCCTTCGTGGCCTACTTCCTGCCCTTCGTGGCCCTGCTGTCGTTCTCTCTCGCTCTCGCTTTCGCTTGTCGTCGCCGACGTCGTCGTCGTCGTCGTCGTCGTCGTGGTCGGTCCCCCGTCCGTCCCTCTTGGGGTCGGGTCGACGGTCCGCGGCCGCCCCGCCGATCAGCGCTGCCGCTGGCCAAGCCGACGGTCCACGGCCGCCCCGCCGTTTGCCGGGGCCCAGTTTGCAGGGAAGAAAGGTATACCCACCAAAAGGGGTTCGATCGAAGACGAAGAGGGCGGGTATCGAGGGTTTGGGAAATACGCGTTATTGGACACTCGAGCATATAAGGGCGAACAGTTTTAAACTTATTGTTGTTGTTGTTGTTGCTGCTGTTGTTGTTGTTGTTGTTGTTGTTGTTGTTGTTGTTGTTGTTGTTGTTGTTGTCGGTGGTTGTGGTGGTGGCGGTGGTGGTGGTGCTAGTGGTGGTGGTGGTGGTGGTGGTGGTGGAGGTTGTGTGGTGGTTTGTGGTGGTCGTGGTGGGTTGTGGTGGTGGTGGTGGTGGTAGTGGTGGTGGCGGTGGTGGTGGTGGTGATGGCGTGGTGGTTGTTGTTGTTTGTGGTGGTGGTGCTAGTGCTTGTGGTGGTGCTGGTGGTGGTGTGTGGTAGATGGTGGCGGTGGCGGTTGTGGTGGTTTTGGTGGTGGTTGGTGGGTTGGCGATGGTGGGTTGTGGTGGCGGTGGTGGTGGTGGTGGTGGTGTGGTGGTTTGTGGTGGTGGTGGTGGTGGTGGTTGTGGTGGGTCGTGGTGGGTTGTGGTGGGTGGTGGGTGGTGGTGGTGGTGGTGGCGGTGCTGGTGGTGTAGTGGTTTGTGGTGGTGCTGGTGGTTGTGGTGGTGGTGGATTTTGGTGGTGCTTGTGGTGGTGGTGGTGGTGGCGGTGGTGGTGGTGGTGGCGTGTTGGTTTGTGGTGGTGGAGGTGGTGGTGTGGCCTTTTGGGTCTTCCCGCCACCGTGCCTTGGGTTTGGGTTAGAGTTTTAATGGATGCCTCTTGGGGTCTTGTCAGAAGGGGTCTGGGGGGCGTCTGAGGAGCATGTGTGAGGGCTCCTGGGCGCCTGTTGGGCGTCGACCGGGTCTTCCTAAGGGCCCCTCTAGGCCTTTTGGGAGCGAGGGTTCGATGTGGCGATTTGTATTTTCCTGCTGCGGCCTCTGGGCTCTCTCTGGTAATCGTCGCTGCGTCCCCGTCGTTGGTGCTGCCGGCTGCCGCCAGCGCAGGCGCTAGCACCGGCACCGAGGGGGGGGTTCGAACCGGGAAGCTGGAAAAGGCAAGCTTGGGGGAGTTAGAATCTACTACTCTTTTCCAGTGGGGAGGGGGGAGGGGAGTCCCCCTGGTTCTGATCGACGGCGCCGAATGTTGGGGCCCCCCCCCCGGTTCGGAACGCGCGGCCGAATGTTTCACGGGCAAGCGCCCGTGAAACGCGCTCTCTCCACCACCCGCATCACCGATTCTACAGTTTTCCGCTGCAGTTTGCCGTGTCGTCCCCGTCAATGTCCGCAGTCCTTCTTGCAGTATTCCACACTCCGAGCGCCTCGCGGGGTGCCGCCCGGACGGGGCTTCCACTCCTCTCCGCAGCCCGTGTTGCGGAGGCCCTACTGGAGAAGCTCCAGGACAGCGTCCAGTCGGAGGCCGGCAGCGGGCAACTCGAGGGGCAGGCTTCTCTTCCTCCTCCTCCTCCTCCCTCCTCCTCCTCCTCCTCCTCCTCCTCCTCCTCCTCCTCCTCTCCCTCCTCCTCCTCCTCCTCCTCCTCCTCCTCCTCCTCCTCCTCCTCCTCCTCCTCTCTCCCTCCTCCTCCTCCTCCTCCTCCTCCTCCTCCTCCTCCTCCTCCTCCTCTTCCCCCCCGAGGGTCGACGTCTCGCCCCCTGGGCCAGTCTCCTCTTTCCCTAGGTGCAGACGCTACCCGTTTCTTGTCGCCACGGCTGGATTCGCTTGGAAACCCTGGTCAGAGCGCACCCTTGGAGAGGTCCTGGGGAGTAGCGGTGTCGATATCTTTTTGTCCCCCCATCCGTGGGCGGGGCCCCCCTCTGGGCCAAATGGGCAGTCCCCCTCCTGTCACGGTATAGCCAGGACCCCGGGTAAGGGGACCCGGTTAGTGGTAGGGCCCTGGGGCCCCTCAATTGGCCAGATTCATTGAAACAGGTTTGCCGTAACTGGTGTTTTTCGGGTGATGGGAGTTCCAGTTAGCGGAACGGGGCGGGGGGGGCGCCCCCCGGTACACATCACTAAACCAGGTTCCATTCAACCCAGTTCTGCCAACGTCCGATCCTGGCCTGTGCCTCGAGGTCTGATCAGTTTGCCTTGGCATCGTGCGTCGTAGCGATGAGGCCATTCACACCTTCGGCTCTGACTGGGTCGGGTTTTCCTCCTCTGCTTCTTCGAAAGCGTTGAGCACTTTGGGGGGTGACTGCTGCTGGTGGGGTGCGGAGGGATGGAGGGTCCACGGAGCCCGTTGCCGTCGACCCCGCTTTGATTGATTTTGTTAGATTTTTTTTGAGAGGCCGCAAATCTGGGAACCTGGAGCGAACAAAAGACTTCCTCCAATGGGCTGTGCCTGAGGGGTCTAACTCGTTTCGAGCCAGTGGGCGGGCGGCGATTGGTGGTCCCCCCCCCGCCTCAGGTTCATGGGGGCTCCCCAGCGGATTCCCCAGGGCTCCTTGGGTCTCTGCCTTGTTTATGTTTGCTAGATTGTGTCTGTTTTGCTCTGCTTCGCCTCGTCTTTGTTCACCTTTCTTCGATTCGCTGAGCACTGCGCCTATTCTGAAGTATGCCATCGTATGGCAAACTGTGCCATGCTACGCAACGTCTTGTCATGCAAGCCACGCTATGCCATGATATGATGCGCTATGTTATGCAATGCTATAACATGCGCTAAGAACAGAGGGCCGCGACTGCCGTGCGACGACGACCGTCGACGGCGACGACGACGGCAACCGTCGACAAAGTCGGCGGCGGCGGCCACGACGGCGACCGGCGGCGACGAACGACCGGCAGTACCGCCCCCGCGGAGGTCGCGCAGTACCGCCGGCAGGCCGAGGACGCGGCCCCGCCGCGCCCCCGGGGGGGCGGCCGCCCGCCCGGCGCTGACCACCGCGGGCCCCGAGCCGCCCGCGTCTCCGAGCCGCCGGCCTTCGGCATCCTCGGCAGGCCGCCTCCCCGGGCTTCCCAGCTGCGCCAGAGAATTGGCACAGTGGAGGGGAGGGGGCTCCTCCTCTTCCCTCTCCTCCTCCTCCTCCTCCTCCTCCTCCTCCTCCTCCTCATCTTTGATCATCCTCCTCGTCCTCCCTCCTCCTCCTCCTCCTCTTCCTCCTCCTCTTTGTTCCTCCTCCTCCTCCTCCTCCTCCTCCTCCTCCTACAGCGGGGGCCCATGCCAAGAAACACCATGCTTGCCTCCAGGGTGCCCTGGGTTTCTGGGGTTTCGATGGTTCTGCTGTGGAAGGCGTGGCGCTCCCACACCAGAAATCGATGGACGTCCTGGGGGTCTCAGAGTTGGGTTTCCTGTGGAAGGTTTCTTGTGGTCGAGCTCCTACTGCACACCATCCTTGGAGACAGCGACATCCATTGTCTACAAGAAGGTTCCGTCGAGAATGCGCGCTGCGGCGCTGCGGCGCTGCACGCCCATGCCCGCAGTTGGGACAGCCTTCGCTGCAGTGGCGCTCGTGCGTCCGTCCTCCCTGGGCCGACCTCGTCGCAGCGGCCGTTGCCGAAGAAGGGAAAGCTGCACAAACTTACACTTTCGGAGCTCCGTGCGGATTTCTTGGATCGGCGCTGGGACCCCCCTGGCGGCGCCTCCGGCGCCGCCCCCGGCGCGCTCCGCCCGCCAGGGAGGGGGGTCCAGCGCAGATCAGAGCAACCCGCGCGGAGCTCCGACAGTCCAGGTTCCTTCCGTTTTTGTTTTTGTTGTTGTTGTTTTTGCCTGCTGCGGCTGCTGTTGTTGTTGTCGTTGTCGTCGTCGTCGTTTCGTTTTGTTTTGTTTTGTTGTTGTTGTTGTGGTGGTCGTTGTTGTTGTTGTTGTTGTTGTTGTTGAACATTATTAATTCTAAAGAATAATTATTGTTGGGCCCCCTGGTGCACGCCCCCCCCGCCGCGCCTAGGCCGCAGCTACATTTTCATCATTTTCGTGAGGAAGCCTCAGGTAAAACGATGGGGTCCAGATCCGGTTGTTTTGTTCCCCCCCGCTTTCCCTTGCAAAAAACACTATAAAATGACATTTCTTGTTCTAATATAATCAAATTTCAAGAATCCCTTGCAAAAAATAAGGTAAAGTGGACATTCGCGCGCGCAAGACGAAATCCTTCCAAAAGCTTAGTGTTCGCAGCGATTTTAACATAAAAACATCAAAAAACCAATGGTTTTTCAACAAAAAAATGTCAAAATCTCATCCCGCGCGCTCTTGCGGATTCGTAGGAAACCCAACACTTTTTAAACATTTCTGTCAAACGGGCTTTTGCGAGCAACTTTTTCGAACTTCTGCGACAACGGTTGCGCACCTGCCAGGGCCATCATCCCTGTCAAATAATACCATGCGGGACACATTCGTCTCTCTGTATTATGTATTGTATGGCACAATTGCACCATGCTGGGCACATGCGCGCCCCGAATAAGTGACCAAGTTCTGTGGGTGTGTACCCCACGCCAGTGTAGTAGCCACGGTCGTCCGCACGCCACGAAGTGAAGTGTCCCAACGTCATAGGGCGGGAAGCTGGGTTTGGGTGGTCGCGAAGAGTCGTTTGGATATTTGGTAGAGCTTGTAATGCCCCCCCACGAAGTGGGGGTATTGCCTGGTGTCGTATGAAAACCCTGGCACTGGGGAGAACACCACGCGTTCGGGTAAAATGATTGTTGTTGTTGTTGTTGTTGTTGTTGTTGTTGTTGTTGTTGTTGTTGTTGTTGTTGAATTCTCACTTCTGAATAATAATTATTGTTGATCCCCCTCACCGGTGCATACTGTTTTTTTCTCAATCTAAGTGTGCCCCTCAACGCTCGCACCCTGTTTCTTGACAGGGACCCCTGGCCCCCCGGATTACAACAACAACGGCTCCCGCCTGAGACGTTCGCCAAATTTACTCAGGCCCCCCGCTCCTGAGACTTCCTTAAGGAGAGGATCTCCTTTCTTTTTGGTTTGGTTGGGGTTGCTGGGTTGCTGGGTTGCTGGGGGGGGGGGTTGCTAGCCACGCGTCCTTTTCACCCGCCTTGACTACTGAAGTCAAGGCGGGCAAGGCGTACGCAGGGCACGCGTCCCTCATGACCGCCTTGACGTTGTTGTTGTTGTTGTTGTTGTTGTTGTTGTTGTTGTTGTTGTTGTTGTTGTTGTTGTTGTTGAACATTATTAATTCTAAAGAATAATTATTGTTGGGCCCCCTGGTGCACGCCCCCCCCCCCGCCGCCTAGGCCGCAGCCTACATTTTCATCATTTTCGTGAGGAAGCCTCAGGTAAAACGATGTGATCCAGATCCGGTTGTTTTGTTGTAATCCGTTTTCCCTTGCAAAAAACACTATAAAATGACATTTCTTGTTCTAATATAATCAAATTTCAAGAATCCCTTGCAAAAAATAAGGTAAAGTGGACATTCGCGCGCGCAAGACGAAATCCTTCCAAAAGCTTAGTGTTCGGAGCGATTTTAACATAAAAACATCAAAAAACCAATGGTTTTTCAACAAAAAATGTCAAAATCTCATCCCGCGCGCTCTTGCGGATTCGTAGGAAACCCAACACTTTTTAAACATTTCTGTCAAACGGGCTTTTGCGAGCAACTTTTTCGAACTTCTGCGACAACGGTTGCGCACCTGCCAGGGCCATCATCCCTGTCAAATAATACCATGCGGGACACATTCGTTTTTTCTTCGCGCGCGCACGCCGTCGTCGTCGGCCGCGGGGCCCTGAATAGTAGCCACGGTCGTCCGCATGCCACGAAGTGAAGTGTCCGAACGTCATAGGGCGGGAAGCTGGGTGTGGGTGGTGGCGAAGAGTCGTTTGGAAATTTGGTAGAGCTTGAACCGGCCCCCCCACAAAGTGGGGGTATTGCCCGCCTCCTATGAAAACCCTGGCACTGGTGAGAACGGAGTGTCCCCAGTCTTAAATGATTGTTGTTGTTGTTGTTGTTGTTGTTGAAATTGTTGTTGGTGGTGGTGGTGGTGTTGTTGTTGTTGAACTTTCATTTCTGAAGAACAATTATTGCTGATCCCCCTTCACCGGTGCATATTGTTTTTCTAAATCAAAGTGTGCCCCTCGACGCTCGCACCTTGTTTTACGACAGGGAAAGTCTTGGTGCTCAAACTGTGCCCCTGGCCCCCCGGATTACAACAACAACAACGGTTCCCGCTTGAGACTTCCTCCAAATTTACTCAGGACCCCCACTCCTGAGACTTCCTCACAATTTACTCAGGATCGGTGCTCACGCTTGTGACTTCCTCGCAATTTTGTCAGGACCGCCGCTCTCATCTGAGACGTCCTCACAATTTACTCAGGAACGGCGCTCCCGCTTGAGACTTCTCGCAGTTGAGTCAAGACTATCTCGCAATTTAATCAAGACCCCCACTCCCGCCAGAGAACCCTTTACATTTTATTCAGGAATTGCGCTCTCGCTTGTGACTTCCATGCAATGTATTCAGAAGTCGCGCTTTCGACGCTCAGGAAGCACGCTGCGCCACGGACGCCGTTACACTTTACGTAGTAATCGCGCTCTCGCCATACTCAGGCATCCCGCTTGAATGTCCCACCCGCCCGACCCGCCCGTCAGGGGATCGCCCGCCCGTCGTGGGCTCCCGCCCGAGAGTTCCTTCAGGAACGGTGCTTTCGCCTAGGACTTCCTCGAACGTTCACGCTCTTACCTTCTTGCTCCTCCTCTCCTCCCTTCTCTCTCCCTCCTCTCTTCCCTCATCCTTATGCCTCTCTGCCCTATCCCCTCTCCCTTCTCTCCCTCCTCCCTTCTCCCCCCCCTCTCCTGCCTACTCCCTCCCTCTTTCTTCCTCTTTCTCTCCCCTCTCTCTCTCTCTTTCTCTACCTCTCTTATCTGTCTTTCTCTCTCTCTCTCTCTCTCTGCCTCTAATTAACCGGTCCCCTCTTTGCTCCTTCTCTCTTGGCGTTTTCCCTCTTCCTTTGTCCCTCCCCCTTCCTCCCGCTCTCCCTCGTTCTCCCCCTCCTCTTCTTGCAGGGCCCACACCAAGTCCAATGGCGGGCACATGTACGCCCACGAAGGATTGTCCGCCCGTTCAGGTTTGCCCGCCTGTCTAAGCCCGCCGCCCCCCGCAAAGAGAAAGAATCCCCCCAAAGCGGGTGTGATCGAAAACAAAATGGGCGGGTATCGAGGGTGTGGGGAACTCGTTTTGAATGACACGCGGGCAAGTAACAGCGAGCAGTCTTCTAATGGTTGTTGTTGTTGCTGTTGCTGCTGCTGCTGCTGTTGTTGTTGTTGTTGTTGAACATTATTTATTCTAAAGAATAATTATTGTTGGGCCCCCTGGTGCGCGCCCCCCCTGCGCCGCCTAGGCCGCAGCTACATTTTCATCACTTTCGTGAGGAAGCCTCAGAAAAGAGGGTGTGTACAGGATCCGGTTGTTTTGTTGTAATCCGCTTTCCCTTGCAAAAAACAATAGAAAATGACATTTCTTGTTCTAATATAATCAAATTTCAAGAATCCCTTGCAAAAAATAAGGTAAAGTGGACATTCGCGCGCGCAAGACGAAATCCTTCCAAAACCTTAGTGTTCGCAGCGATTTTAACATAAAAACATCAAAAAACCAATGGTTTTTCAACAAAAAAATGTCAAAATCTCATCCCGCGCGCTCTTGCGGATTCGTAGGAAACCCAACACTTTTTAAACATTTCTGTCAAACGGGCTTTTGCGAGCAACTTTTTCGAACTTCTGCGACAACGGTTGCGCACCTGCCAGGGCCATCATCCCTGTCAAATAATACCATGCGGGACACATTCGTTTTTTCTTCGCGCGCGCACGCCGTCGTCGTCGGCCGCGGGGCCCTGAATAGTAGCCACGGTCGTCCGCATGCCACGAAGTGAAGTGTCCGAACGTCATAGGGCGGGAAGCTGGGTGTGGGTGGTGGCGAAGAGTCGTTTGGAAATTTGGTAGAGCTTGAACCGGCCCCCCCACAAAGTGGGGGTATTGCCCGCCTCCTATGAAAACCCTGGCACTGGTGAGAACGCAGTGTCCCCACGTGCTAGAAATTGTTGTTGTTGTTGTGATTGTTGTTGTTGTTGTTGTTGTTGTTGTTGTTGTTGTTGTTGTTGTTGTTGTTGCTGCTGTTGTTGTTGTTGTTGTTGTTGTTGTTGCTGCTGTTGTTGTTGCTGTTGTTGTTGTTGTTGTTGTTGCTGTTGTTGTTGTTGTTGTTGGTGCTGCTGTTGTTGTTGATGATGATGTTATTGTTGTTGGTGTTGTTGTTGTTGTTGTTGTTGTTGTTGCTGCTGTTGTTGTTGTTGTTGTTGTGGTCGTTGTCGTTGTCGTTGTTGTTGTTGTTGTTGTTGTTGTTGTTGTTGTGGTTGTTGTTGTTGTTGTTGTTGTTGTTGTTGTTGTTGTTGTTGTTGTTGTTGTTGTTGTTGTTGTTGTTTTCGGTGCTTCACTTGGGCTCTCGCGATGCCCCCCCCGCGCCAGAGCTGACCGCCGCGCGGCCTCGATGTGCACGCCTGCCCTCGGCGTGCCCCCCCGCCCTGGCGCCCTCGCACCCGCTGCTTCCGGCGCCCTCCTGGAGATCCGACGTGCGGCAGGTTCGTGCGGCGATGCCGCGCCGACGCCGCCCAAATCCTCCTCCTCCTCCTCCTCCTCCTCCTCCTCCTCCTCCTCCTCCCCTTTCCCTCCCCTCCTCCTCCTCCTCCTCCTCCCTCCCTCTCTCTCCCTCCCTCCCCTCCTTTCTCCTCCCCTCCTCCTCCTCCTCTCCTCCTTCCTCCTTCTTTTCCTCCTCCTTCCTCCTCTTCCTTCTCCTCCTCCTCCCCTCCTCCTCCTCCTCCTCCTCCTCCTCCTCCTCCTCCTCCTCCTCCTCCCCGTGAAGGCGTTCAAGGCTAAGCTCCGCACGATCAAGAGACACAGAAGCACTAAGGGGCACGGTGCTGCCACAGGGCCCGACTGAATTCAAACCGTGAACGGTCGTGGCCGCGATCGATTTAAGGTTGAAGTATCGGCGCGGGGTCAAGAACCGTGGCGCACGCAGACGCCGCACGAACCTACCGGAGCGAACAAATTGAGAAGGGGGGAAACGAGAAGGAGGAGGTCCTCTGAGAAGGCGACTGGGCTTCTCAGAAACTCTCGCGCCTGCTTGAGAGGGTTTTCTGGTGTCGTCGGGGACGGCTCATCAAACTTCTCAGAGGGCCGGGAGACTTCTGAGCCTTCGGCTTATGATGTTCCAACCAATTTAGCTTTGATCACCTGAAAGAATCTCGTGCACCAAGAAAGTACCGAAACTGGAGGATCTTCACGTGCCAGGCCCTGGGAGGCGATACTCGTTCGACAATGTTTGTTTTTTTTGTGGGTGCTCGAAATTATTTCTGGGATGTGGTCCTGAAGTGCGATGGTCAGGCGATCGCAGACATGGATTCAGGGGGCGAGGGTTAGCGACGGGTCCCGTTTCCATGGGAAATCGCGGATCTCCACCGCCAGGCGAGGCGGCACCGGCCGCACTTTGGGGAGGGCATCCTCCCCCGATCCACTGATTTGGCGACCTCGCGCCGAATCCATGGATCCATGTTTGCGCGCCCCCGACGTACGTGCGATGGGGGCAGCATAACCTCTGGAGAAGTCCCGCCCCCCCTCGCTCTCCCCCCTGGGCTCGCCGCCGACCATGCCTCTGCGCCATGTGTTCCGAGCCGGATCGGTCTGCGAAGGCCTCCGGGGCCCAGATCGATTACAGTTGAGGTTGGGCGTGCCCGTCTACAGGAGGCATATTGAAGAAGGGCAAACAGATAGTCCGGGGACGATTTTTCTAATATTTTTCGCTATTGCTGGTTATTTTTGGACTATTGCTTACTTTCGTCCAGAATACGCCTGTAGGAGGACATGCCCGACCTAACACTGCACGTAAGAGTGACCCCTCGCCTGAGTGGCTTTTGGTGCGGGCCCACTGGGGCCCCTCGAGCGCTGAGTGTGGTGCGACAGCAGTGGTCAGCGCGCTCGGGTTTGGACCGCACGCGCCCTCCTGAAGCCGCGCGCCAACGGTCACTCTTGCCTGGGATCATTCTTACATGTAGCCCACCGAAGCCGGGCGAAAGCGCCTAGAGTGAAAAGACTGCAGCGCCAGGATCCCAGGGCTCGCCGAGGTCGTCGTTTCCGGTTTCAAATCATGGGAACCTTTTGTACCCTCACGATTCCGTCTTTAGAGTGCTTTGGCGTGGAGTAGCGTCTGGCAGTCGATGATTTAGCGCAAATTCATCGTCGATTAGCGTCGACTCGCGTCGATAAGCGTCGATTTAGTGTCGATTCAGCGTCGACCAGCGTCGATTCGCAAGAGCCGACAAGATGGCACGGGAGGCTCTCATGAGTTGCCACCGAAGTCGTCGTCGGCGCCCCGCCGTTGCGACGAGCAGTCCCCCGCGTCCCGCTTGAGCGAGGAGGGTATTTGAAAATCATGTTATTTATCTGATTTCGTGCCCCTCCCACTCCTCCTGAGCGAGGAGGGTATTCGAACACCATGTTTTTTTTTCCCTACCTAGGCTCTGCCTAGAAGGGTTCTTACTCGGTGTGCTTTAATGGGCCGGGCAGTGCTACCCGCCCTGGGCGGTTCCCCCAGTATCCGCCCCGCGGTTCCCCCAGTTGCGCTCCCTAGCTTCAGCTTTAGCTTTAGCTTTAGCTTTAGCTTTAGCTTAGCTTTAGCTTAGCTTTAGCTTAGCTTTAGCTTAACTTTTGTTTAGCTTTAGCTTAGCTGTAGCTTGGCTTTGGCTTAGCTTTAGCTTAGCTTTAGCTTAGCTTTAGCTTAGCTTTGGCTTAGCTGTAGCTTCGCTGTAGCTTAGCGTTAGCTCATATTTAGCTTAACTAAAGCTAGCTTTAGCTCAGCTGTAACTTAGCGTTAGCTTAGCTTCAGCTTAGCTTTAGCTTAGCTTTAGCTTAGCTAAAGCTAGCTTTAGCTCAGCTTTAGCTTAGCTTTAGCTTAGCTTTAGCTTAGCTTTAACTTAGCGTTAGCTTGGCTTTAGCTTAGCTTTAGCTTAGGTTTAGCTTAGCTTTAGCTTAGCTTTAGCTTAGCTTTAGCTTCGCTTTAGCTTAGCTTTAGCTGAGCTTTAGCTTAGCTTTACCGTTACTACTCATGCTGCTTTCCTAGGGGCTCCAACTCCTAGGTAGGGTCGCACGGGGATAATTTTTATCAGGTTTCGTGCTCCTCCCACTGTCTGGAGGACATGTTTGGCCGTCTTGTGGCCATCGTGGCCGTCTTGGAGGTTTCATCACGCCATGGCGCTGCGCGAAAGCCTGCTAGGGTCTCGGGCCGCGCAGGACGCGGAGCGGGAGCTGCGGCGGGCGGAGGCCTCGTGCGCGCCCCTGCGAGCGGAGCGCGGCGAGGCGGCCGAGGCCGCGGGTGCGGGCGGCCTCTGCGGGGCCGCCGCCGCTCGCCTTCGCCGTCGCTGTCGTCGTCGTTGCTTGCTGCCTTCGCCGCGGTCGTCGCCGTCGGCTGCCGTAGTGGTCGCAGTCGCCGCCGGCTGTCGTCGTCTCCGCCGTCGCCGGCGCCGTCGCCGTCCCCGTCGTCGTCGCCGTCGCTGCGGGCTGTCGTCACATGTCGTCACCGTCGGTTGTCGCGGCCGCTGGCGTCGCCGTCGTTGTCGCTGTCGCCGGTTTTCGTCGGTTGTCGCTGTCGCCTCTGCTGTCGCCGTTGAAAATGTAACATGTGTTTGGTACCCCCTCAGAGCTAGGCAAGCATGTTTGTTGTTCAAAGGAAGCGGTTCTGGGCGCTCTCGCCTCCACGCCGGCTGCATGTTCTCTGAAATCGACGCTCCCGCTCGAGCGTGGGCTTCGTTCCAAGTCCCGTTTTGTTACAGCCCCAACGACGACGACAACGGCTCCCGCTCGATATTGTGACGGCCTTACGGCCGGTGCCGCCGACCCTGAAAGACATCGACTACGACCAGGAGGGGGAGGAGGAGGAGGAGGAGGAGGAGGAGGAGGAGGAGGAGGAGGAGGAGGAGGAGGAGATGAGGGGGAGGAGGATGAGGAGGATGAGGAGGAGGAGGAGGAGGAGGAGTAGGAGGAGGAGTAGGAGGAGGAGGAAAAGGACTTCCCCCTGGGACCCCCCCCTCTGGGGAGGAGGACTGGAGGAGGACAGGCGTGGGAGAGGGGAGGGGAGGGGGAGGAGGACCCCCAGGGACGGATGTGTATCTGACTCCCCTCCCACCCCCTGTACTCCTCACCACCTGGGGAGGGGGACCCGAGGAGGATCGGCGCGCCGGAGAAGGACCAGCGTGGGGGAGGAGGACCTCAGAGGTGATGCGAATCTGACCCCCCCCCCTCCCCCTTCTCCCCCCCCTCGGGACCGCCCCTTCCCCCCGCCGGGGAAGGGACAAAGGGAAGGGACTTGCTTCCCTTTGACGTGACTACGACGCCGGTCGATTTCCCTCGATCCCCAGACTCCTTCCCCCGACGACGGGAGAGTGCTCTCGGGGAAGGATGAACAGAGCAGGCGTCCCGTCGACGGGACCAGACAGACCCCTCACGCACGCCGACAGGGTCGGCGGATTTCCCCCCCAACGTGGACGACCCTCCCAACGTGGCGGCGTATGTCGATGTATTTATGCATCTGTGTATGTCCTACATGTGTACGTATATGTAGATGTATACGTACATGTATATGTATATGGAAGTATATACGTAGATGCATAGGTATGTGTGAGCATACATATGCATATGTAAATGTGTATGTAGATGCATGTGCATCTGATTGTGCCTGTGCATATGTATGTGTATGTTTTCGTGCGTGCATGTGCATGTGTATGCATCTGTATATGTGTATGTGCATTTGTAGGTATGTGTGTGTATGAATAGGTGTTTCGGCACATTTATGTATATAATGTAGACAATGTATGTATGTATATATATATATATGTATATATATATAATCGCCCCAACAAGATCCCACATGCGGGCTCAGACGCTTCATCCTCGGCCTCCTCTTGCGACGCCTCCTCCCATTCACTTTTTTCGCCTGCTCGTCCCTCTTTTCTGTTTGCGCCGGCTCCTCCTCGTCATCCTCCTCGCTCGCCGTCTGCAGAATGAGGAGGAGTAGAAGCGGGATATGCGAGGCCTTTAGAAACCATTGTATTTTCAGGTTTCCATACCCTGCCATTGACATGCGTTGTGTCTTTCAGTTTTTTTTCCGAAGCACTAACACATGCGTGTTTGTCAGACTTACCTGTTTGTTTGTTTCAGGCTTTGCTTGTTCAGATTTCTGACACAGGCTGCGCAGACTGGGTGATCTCTGCCAGAAGTCGAGGCAAACAACAGACACAACATAACTAAACACATGATCAACACCACACGTGCTATAGTTGCAGAGAAGGTGAGGGAACTGAGCAGACGAGCGAACACACAGCCTTTTCCAATGGCAGGATCAGGGACATCTGACAATATATGCACGTTTTCAAAGGCCGCGCGCGCGTGCCGATCGCCCGCCTCCCCCACCCCCCGAGAGGCCCTGGCTGAGGCGCGCGGGCTCCTGAGGACGGGCGCGCTCTCTCCTCGTGCGGCCGCGGAGGGCCCCGGGGCGCCCCCGGCGTCGAGGAGAAGGTGACGGCCGGAGGCTCGGCGTTGGAAGTCCGAGGCCTTGGCATTGTTCGGACGTTGGCATTTTCTGCTTTTGGTCGGCGAGGACACCGTCGAGGAGCATCCTGGACCATCAGAAATGCACAGGGACCAGAAAACGCACGAGGATTGGACGTCCGAGCGACGGCGAGAGGCCGAAGAGCGAGCGTCGCCCTCTTGGGGCTTCCAGGGGGCTCCTCGTCGCCTGGGCCGGCTCCGTCTGGAAGTTCTGGCTAGAAGGCGCCCCAGAGCATGTGCGGGTATCGGTTCCTGCCCCCCAGGCCGAGACCTCTTCTTCGCGCCGCGGCAGGAATCGCGTCGGAAGGCTTTTGGTACGTCTTCGTCCTCGGATTAAGTCGGGCCCGTCCCTCTACAGGAGGAATATCCCAAAATAGTAAACAGATAGTCAGGGGACTATTTCTTGAGTATTCTTTGACCATTTGGGAGTATTTTGTGAGTATTTTTTTATGTTTCGTCGAAAATCCCCCTGTAGGGGGACACGCCCGACTTCGTCCTCGGAGGTCCCTTCTGAGCCACCGTGCCCTCAGGCGAAAGGGCTCGGGTCGAGACGTCGGTCGCGCAGAGGGAGTGCCCGGACCTCCAGGGGGGGTCCACGCTGCGGACAGACGTCGTGGCGTCGGGGGTCCTGGGGTCGTGGGTGGGAGGTCGAGGTAGGTAGGTCCGCAATCATGAAGGCTAGCTTCGGCGCTCCAACTTGTCCTTTTCCTCTGCTAGTCTGCGACAGCGTTGGTTAGCGTGCCGAGTAATCTTCTCCCCCTCCTCGCTTCCCCGTGCCCTCCCTCCCATCCGCTCGTTGTCCCGCCTTTCCCGTTGCCCTCCCCTGCGATCCTTCCTGTTCCATGATTCCCCCCCGCTTCCGTCGTCGAGGAGGAAGGGGGATCGAGGATCGAAACCTTTCCAAGGGTACCCTTGCATCCTTGCCTCGGTCCATCCCTGACCACTCTCGACGGCCAGCCCCGCTCGAAGAGCTTCGACATGGGCGCCCAAGGGGCTCGCATCCTTGCTGCAGTCAACCCGCATAGCAAGGATGGGCAACCTTCCCAGGGGTCACTTCCATCCTCGCCGCCTCGGTCCATCCTTGGCCACTTTGGTTGGCCGCGCCCCGCTCGAAAAGCTTCGAGACGGCCTTCCACAGCCCCGGCGGCCTTCTCGTGCGTCCTTGTGATACGGGTCGACTGTATCAGTTTTGACTACTTGTCGTTGCGCGTGGCCAATTTCCATTTTTTGGGGGCCTCCAGGGACCTCCTGAGACCTCGGACGCATCCATGATGAGCCGATTTTCCACCACCACTACCATAGGTAGAGGGAGGAGGAGGAGGAGGAGGAGGAGGAGGAGGAGGAGGAGGAGGAGGAGGAGGAGGAGGACCTCCTCATCCTCCCATCTTCCCGGTCCTACCTATGGTAGTGGTGGTGGAAATTTGGGCCATCAATCCAGAGACGTCTGGGGGCGGCCGGAGGTCCATAGTCGTCGTCGCCGCCGTCGCTGTCGTCGTGGTAACTTCCGGCTAACCACAGCTGGGGGAGTTGTTCTCCCCTGAGCATCGCTCGGACGTGTGCATTTTTCTCGGCGAGGGCCATCGAGGAGCATCGTGGATCGTTGTGCGAAAAGTTGGCGCACGAAGCCGAACATGCACGGGGAATGGACGTCCGAGCGATGGCGAGCCCTTGTCGAAGGCGCCTGCGGCGAGCCACCGCCGCCCCCTGCCCTTTTGGAAGCGCCTACGTGGCCAAACGGTGTGCCAGAGCCTTCTCGAGCTGTTGGGCCATGTGTGTCCCCCAGTCTTCGTGGAAACCCTCGGGAGAGGAGGAGGAGAGGAGGAGGACCAGTGTAAACCCAAGACTCACCAACGATGTTGGAATTAACCCTCCCTACCAACTCCCTCTTCGCAGGACCCTACAACGGTTCATTCCCATTGAGGGAAGTGCCCCGTTAGGAGACAAACGTTTGAAGTTCCTGATGCGTGCCCAAACACCATTCTCAGGAATCTAACGCCACGAATCAACCTGACTGTTTCGTCTTACCGATCCCGAATCGTGCCAGATCATGGTTCCTGGGATTTCAGCACGGCGCATCAACGGGAATATTGCGCCCTGACAATCCGACATCGTGCCATGAACATCCTTGAAGCGGTTGCAAACTCTTGAGACGAATGTGCACGGCGCCAAGGCGAGAGCCACATTTTGAAAATGGCCCGCCCTCAATCTGTGAAAGTTTGCGGTTGTTTGAGACGAATGTTCGCGGCGTTGAGGCGAGAGTCACATGTTGAAAACGGCCCGCCCTCAATCCATCAAGTTCTTGCAAGTGTTCAAGAATAATGTCCTCGGCGCTAAGGCGAGAGCCACATTTTGAAAACTGCCCGCCTTCATCTCTGAAACTGTTGCCAATCTGTAAGCCTCGAGATAGTAACTAATAAGGAAGTCGGAGGTGAAACGCCCAGCCAGCAATTCCGAGTGGCCTCGGGGTGCGACAGGGACGAGTTATTTATAAGGAAAAGGAATAGAGGATTAGGAGGAGGCGGAGGCAGAGGCAGGAGGAGGAGGAGGCGGAAGAGGAGGAGGAGGAGGAAAAGGTGGAGGAGGAGGAGGAGGAAGAGGAGAAGAAGGAGGAGGAGGAGGAGGATGAGGCGGAGGCGGAGGCGGAGGAGAGAGAGTTCGGGCGCAGCTGAACGTAAGGATTCTGTGGGTGGGACGTTATGGGGTTGCCCATGTCCCTCCTCCCTGTTCCTTAGTCTCTCTCTGTGGCCCATTTGGGCTCAAGTTTTTCTCGGGGCCTTCGAGGCCCCGGGAAGGAGGACGAGGATGAGGACGAGGATGAGGATGATGTTGCTGATGATGCTGCTGCTGCTGATGATGATGATGCTGATGCTGCTGCTGCTGCTGCTGCTGCTGATGATGATGATGATGATGATGATGATGATGCTGATGATGATGATGATGATGATGATGATGATGAGATGATGGTGATGTTGATGACGATGCTGATCACGAGGAGGAGGAGGACTGGTGATAGTACTAATAATGAAGGTTCTGATAGTACTCAGGGAGAGACGACGCATACTACGAATACTGAATACGACCAATAAGGATTATATCAGCAATGTCAATGCGACGAACGTAGTACTACTATTGATAATAATATCACTCATGCCAATAACCAATGACATACTAGCACTAAGACGCATAGCAACGCGACACATACGAACACGACTAGAAATAATACCACTACGCATCATACTATCACTGCTGTTATCAAGACGATTGCTCATACTACCACCGCATACGATGGCACACACTACTAATGATAATGCGAGCGGTACGTATTCGCATGCTACGAGTAATCATATAACTGCTACTCATACGACTGATCATACCAAAGCTACCCACTGAAACGATTATTAACTTTGGATTGCGACGAATACGAAAACTACTAGGACTGAACACCATACTAACCATACCAGTACGAATGCTCATTCGCAAAAAAAAGAGCATGACGACTAATGACACAATGCGGACACTCAGACAACCGATATGACTAGCACAACTACGATGTTTACGAATCTTGCTACTAGTGTGAGGAGTGCGACGCACACTCGTAAAACTGTAAATCCTAATGCTATGAAGACGGGTAGTACTACTACCGAGAACAAGTCGAAATCGACGGCTACGAACGCCAATACCTAACTTAAGGCTACACGTGCGAGTAGCTATTACGCATAATCTGGGGAGGCGGGGGCGGAGGAGGAGGAGGAGGAGGAGGAGGAGGAGGAGGAGGAGGAGGAGGAGGAGGAGGAGGAGGAGGAGGAGGAGGAGGAGGAGGAGGAGGGGAAGTCTCGGCGTGGCGAGCGGGGCAAGGAGGGCCAGGGGCGCCTTTGGCGGCTCCGTGGCGCCCCCCCCCCCGCGCAGGAGCGAGCAGGCCGAGCACGCGTCCTCCGCCAGCAGGGCGCGCGCGCGCCTCTGCCGAAGCGCCTCTGCTCGCTGCTCGAGGGGGTGGGGTGGGAGGGGGGGGGAATGGGGGAGGAGGAGGGGGAGGAGGAACGGATGAGGAGGAGGAGAAGGAGGGGAGGAGGAGTCAGGAGGAGGAGGAAGAGCAGGAGGAGGAAGAGGAGGAGGAGCAGGAGGACCAGTGTAAACCCAGGAGTCATCACCGATGTTGGAGTAAACCCTCCCTCCAAGCCCCCTCTTCATCGACCCCTACAACGGTTCATTTCCATTAATGAACTGCCTCGTTGGAGGACGCCCGTTTGACGACCCTGAAGCATGCCAAAACATTGTTCTCGGGGTTCCAACGCCACGGATCAACCTGATTGTTGCGTCTTGGCGATCCTGAATCGTGCCTGATTGCCATTCCTATGACTTCAATACAGGGAATCAACGTAACTGTTGCACCCGCAAAATCCGGAATCTTTCCAAACACCATATCAGCCAGCGTTGACCCCACATAATCAGACGACTCAAATGAAGGAGCCAGAGGAATCAAACATGCTTGGAATCCGCAACTCAGCACGCAAGCACGCGTGCAAGCACGCGCGTAAGCAAGCGCGCACGCTTGCGCGCGAGCAAGCAAGCAAGCAAGCAATCAAACAAGCAAGCGTGCAAGCGCGCAACCAAGCAAGCACGCAAGCAAGTACGCAAGCAAGCACGCAGGCATAGGCGTAGGCGTAGGCATAGGGTTTGGGGGAGGCATACGCATAGGCATAGGCATAGCCATAGGAAATAGGGGGGCATACGAATTAGGGGGGGGGGGACGGACCAATTAGCAGGGTTTGCGTTCGAACACTTATAGGGCAAGTCTGTTTGTAGAAATTCTTGTACGCTGATGATGGGAAGTCGTGCAACCCTTACAATTTTTGTTCCAAACGGATGTGCGCGGCGGTAAGACGAGAGCCACATTTTGACTTTGAGGCCGCCCTCAATCCGTGAATCTCTTGCAAGTTTTTAAAACGAATGTGCGCCGCGCTAAGGCGAGAGCCACGTTTTGAAAGCCACCCGCCCTCAACCCGTGAAGCTCTTGCAGATGTTTAAAACGAATGTGTGCCGCGCTAAGGCGAGAGCCACATTGTGAACACCACCCGTCCTCAATCCGTGCAACTTCCGCAAACTTTTAAAACGAATGTGTGCCGCGCTAAGGCGAGAGCCACATTTTGAAAACCACCCTCCCTCCTATCAGGGAAGCTGTTGCCAATTTCTCAGCTTCAGAGTCATAAGCGGTTGGGGGATCTCAGGCGAAGCGCCTTGCCCGCCCTGAAAATTGGCCTCGGGGTGCGACAGAGATAAGTTATCAACACGGGAAAAATAATGGAGAGGATGAGGAGGAGGAGGAGGAGGACGAGGAGGAGGAGGAGCAGGAGCAGAAGGAGGAAAAGGAGGAGGAGGAGGAGGAGGATGAGGGGGAGGAGGAGAAGGAGGAGGAGGAGGATGAGGGGGAGGAGGAGAAGGAGGAGGAGGAGGAGGAGGAGGAGGAGGAGCAGGAAGAGGAGGAGGGGGAGGGGGAGTGAGCGGGGGAGGAGGAGGGGGAGGCAGGAGAAGGAGGAGGAGGACTAGGAGGAGGAGAAGGAGGAGGAAGAGGAGGAGGAGAGGAGGAGGGAGGGGAAAAGAGGAGGAGGAGGAGGAGGAGGAGGAGGAGGAGGAGGAGAGGAAGAGGGGAAGGAGGAGGATGCCAAAGAGGAGGAGGGAAGGGAGGAGAAGGACGAGGAGGAGGAGGAGGAGCAGGAGGAGGATGAGGAGGGGGATGAGGGGGATGAGGATGTTGATGAGGAGCAGGATGAGGTGTAGGAGCAGGGTGCTGCTGCTGATGATGATGATGCTGATGCAGATGCTGATACTTATGCTGATGCTGATGATGATGCTGCTGATGATGATGGTGATGATGATGAGATGATGATGAGGATGATGATGATGATGATGATGCTGATGCAGATGCTGATGCTGATGATGATGCTGCTGCTGATGATGAGATGATGACCATGGTGATGATGATGATGATGATGATGATGGTGGTGATGATGATGCTGATGATGATGCTGATGCTGCTGCTGATGATAATGACGATGCTGCTGATGATGATGCTGATGATGATGATGTTGATGCTGATGATGATAATGATGATGCTGCTGATGGTGATGATGATGATGATCTTGCTGCTGCTCTGCTGTTGCTGCTGATGATGATAATGATGATGCTGCTGATGATGATGGTGATGATGATGAGATGATGATGATGATGGTGATGATGATGATGATGCTGCTGCTGCTGATGATGATGATGATGATGATGATGATGATGATGATGCTGCTGCTGATGATGATGATGATGATGATGACGGTGGTGATGACGATGATGATGCTGATGATGATGATGATGGTGGTGATGATGATGATGATGATGATGATCTTGCTGCTGCTCTGCTGCTGCTGCTGCTGCTGACGATGATGATGCTGATGGTGATGATGCTGTTCATGATGATGAGGATGATGGTGATTGTGATGATGATGATGATGATGATGATGATGATGATGATGATGATGGTGATGATGATGATGCTGCTGATGATGCTGATGATGCTGATGATAGTGATGATGATGATGATGATGATAATGATGATGATGGTGATGATGAGGGTGATGATGATGATGGTGATGATGATGCTGATGATGCTGATGATGAAGATTATGATGATGATGATGATGATGATGATGGTGATGATGATGATGATGATTATGATGATGATGATGATGATGATGATGATGATGATGATGATGATGATGATGATGATCTGCTGCTGCTGCTGCTGATGATGCTGCTGCTGCTGCTGCTGATGATGATGATGATGATGATGATGATGATGATGATGAGTGCTATAAGTCCTAATGCTATGGAGACAGGTAGTACTGCTACTGAGAACAAGTCGAAATCGACGGCTATTGATGCCAATACCTACCTTAAGGCTACACGTACGAGTAACACGACTACCAATACTGCTATTACTAAAAGTATGAAGGCTGATGCAACTAATACACATAATATGGGGAGCGGGGGAGGAGGAAGAGGAGGCGGAGGAGGAGGAGGAGGAGGAGGAGGAGGAGGAGGAGGAGGAGGAGGAGGAGGAGGAGGAGAGGCGGAGGAGGAGGAGGAGGAGGAGGAGGAGGGAGGATGAGGATGACGAGGAGGAGGAGGAGGAGGAGGAGGAGGAGGAGGAGGAGGAGGAGGAGGAGGAGGAGGAGGAGGAGGAGGGAGGAGGGAGGAGGAGGAGGTGGAAGAGGAGCGATTTGGAGACCCCGCTCTGCCTTGACCAGCAGGGCGCACACCGCCGCAGGGCCCACCATGTCTCCGGTGCACCGCCGAGCTCCTCTCGCCGCCCCGGGGGGCGCCCGCGAGCGCCGGCGTCCCGTCCAGGTGTGGTCCCTCGAGCGCCAGCTCGCCTCCGCTCAGGACGCTAGGGGGTAGGGGTACTCCTCCTCCTCCTCCTCCTCCTCCTCCATTCCTCCATTCCTCCATTCTTTCATTCCCTCAAGCCCATTCTGGCTCAGAGCGGTTTTTTTTGCCCGTCAGGCCAGTCTTCCCTTGTGCTGTTATTACCATCAGTGTGCAGGTTGGAGCGCCTCGGTTTCGAGGTTACAGCAAGGAATCATTCTTCCACGATGGCTCCTCAGGGTCGCCGCGACGATGGCTGGCGCGATGGGGCTCCTTGGACCAATTGGTCAGGGGCTTCGCGCAGCGGTCCCCCACGCCGTCCGACAAGACCCCTGCTGTGCAATGGCCCAAGCCAGGAGCCGCCTTGCCCCTTCGCAGCGGTTCGCAGTTCGAGCAGCCGTCCGGTGGTGGCGGCGTGGGCGACAGCGGAGCAGCAGAGGTGCGCCAGCTCGCCAGCTTGGTCGAGACGCTCACCAAGTTCGGCGACACGGAGGGTGCGCAGCGGTACCAGCGTCGCCTCGAGGCAAAGAAGAAGGAACTCGCCCCAGCGGAGGCCCCGCTGCAGCAGCGAGTCAACAAGGCCTACCACGAGTTGCGCGGCTGGCAGGCCAAGGCGAACAAGGCCTGTACGACGTACGAGAACTTGCAGAATGAGCTCGGGCTGCAGAGACAGAGGGTCCAGGAGGCGAGCGACGAGCTGGCCAGGGCGGAATCCGTGCACGCGGACCTCGTACGGCAGCTGCACGCCTCAGTGGACGGCCCCGCTGATGATTCTAAGCCTCTTGTGGCTGCTCTGGACGTGTCGGACATCCTCACGGGGAAGGTTTCAGATATCCCGATCAGCATCACCAGCCTTCTGGGAAAGGACGGCGAGTGCGAGTGGTCGCCTGAGGAACGAGCTGAGGCTGATCGTCGCGTTCAGCATCTCCAGACGGCCCTCAAGGAGGCCATCATTGCATCCTCCGGCAAAGTTCAGAAGAAAGCTGACGAGTTCAAGCTCGATCACCAGGAGCAGCTCAAGCGCCTGCGCCCCAAGCGCGCCAGGGTCGAGGAGGCCCTTGCTGGCGGGGAAGGCGCGGGCGCCGAGGCTGCTGGGGCCGCGGCGTTGGCGGCGACCAGCGGAGGAGGCGGAGCAGCCGCAGCCGAGGCTGTATTGTCGCCCACTGCTTCGAGCTCTTCTGCTGACACCTCTGAGTCTGCCGTCAGTGCCAGGCTCCGTTGCGATCGAATTTTACAATCTTCCCCCCTCGCAGGCGAGCCAGCAGGGACCGCCTGAGGGGGGGAACCATCCAGTATCTGTAATTAATGCTGACGTTTGCCTCGCGGGAGGCTCCGCAGCTCCCCCCAGCAATCGTGGTTCTTCCTGGTCCCATGGTATTGCTGCGGGGCCCAGTTTTGGCCCTGGCCCTGGTTCGGACGCCCCTGGTTTTGTCTCTTTCAGGGCGCCCCCCGAACCCGAGCCAGGAGAGATAGCGCTGATCATCGAGTCCTGTAATGCCACCTCATGGGGATCTTGTAGAGAATGGCTCGGCCATAATAAGGCCCATGCGATAGCGGTGCGGGAACGCCACTTAGCCGCGGAGGAGGGACGCAAGGAGGGCGCAGACTGGTGCTTGAGACAGGGCTGGGAAGGCCTGTTCGCGCCATCATGTCCTGGCGGCGTGGCTCTTTTTGCCAGATCGTTCCTAGGATTTCATGACCTACCTGAAGACTCCATCCTGCACCCGCATAGGGCTATCGGTGGGTCGGTGCACTTGCCAGGGAGCTCGGCCCTCCATCATTCTGAAGGTCTTGACGGATCGGAACGTCAACATTCTCAGTGCTGTAGGTGCGGCGGCCACGCTGTATCCCAATGAGGCAGCGGTCGCGGGTGATTTCAATCTTGCGCCGGATGATATCATAGGAAGCGGTTTTCCAGAGAAGCTCTTGGGCGACGTGGTTTATCCTGAGTGTGCGGGGACCTGTATGACCACTGGGGGCCCACAGTTATTGACTTTTTCGTGGTCACGTCGGGCATGTATAAGATTATTCAGGCTGTAGATGCGATTCAAACCTCCCGCATCACCCCCCCACGCCCCAGTGCATCTTACCCTGTACCCCAAGGCTTGCTCTCTGCAAGCTCTGGCCTTTGCTAAGCTGGTGGCGAGTCCGCACGGGCCCGTGAGACGTGCCGCTTAGCAGGGGCGGGCATCCGTTCGGTTTCGGGAGGCTCAGTCGGTTTGGGAAGGCCCAGTCCGTGCCAGAGCGCCCGGCCCGCCTGGGTTTCGGGAGGCCCGGCCGATTTCCCGATTTGTTTTGGAAGAATCAGTTTCGATAGCCAGTTGATGTCGGAAGACTCGGCTCGTTTTGGAAGGCTTGTCCGTTTCGAAAGATTTGGGTCCCGTTTCGGAAGGCTGCTTTCGGAAGTGCTCTTTGCTTTCAAGTTTCGGAGGGTCCGCCTTCCCCCCCTCCTAACCCCCCCACTCCCTCCCTTTCTCCACTCCACCCCTCCGCCTCCTCCTCCTCCTCCTCCTCCGATGGGGGGTGGAGGTTAGGTTCGGATGTCGCCAGCAGCGGATGCCGCGGCACCGACTTGATGTTTGTGTGCGCCGTTTCAATCGACACGTCTCGGTCTGTAGCGCGCAAGCCGCTGTTCGACAGTGCGGTTCGTCTCTCTCTCTCTCTCTCTCTCTCTCTCTCTCTCTCCGCGCGCGCGCACCTCCCGATCCCCCGTCTGGCCCCCGCGCACTCTGCACAGCAGACGGCGCGTCGTGCATTTCAAGTGACGTCTGGGTGCTGCAGGCTCGTGCTGCGTCGACGCGGCTGCGACCTCGCCGCGGGCGTCCAACGTGGAACGCCGCCGGTGGCCCAGGGCCGGCCAAGATGGAACGATCTCGCGTGCCGCCCATCGTGCAGGGTAAAACGCTCCACACGGTGTCCCACAAACCACCGCCGGGGTCGTCACCGCACGACTCTGATGGGCCTGTTCTCCACCGCCACCACCATAAGTGGGAGGGGGGAAGGAGATGGAGGATGAGCATGAGGAGGAAGCCTACTCATGGTGGTGACGGTGGACAACGAGCTTACCAGACTCTGCCGCATCCCAGGTCCGATTCGACGCCCTTCTCGACGAGCAGAACGTGGCTCCAAGGCAACGGGAAGGCACGGGCGGGACGCTCGGGAGTTCGGAGGTGGCGCGAGCGCGCCTCGGCCTGCCGCTGTCCCCCCCCGAAACCCCGCCTCCCGAGCCCCCCTCCAGCGCGCTCCCCCGCCCCACCAATCCGCCCCCCTCTCCCCCTCACCAGATAATCCGACGTCGTGGTCGTGATCCCGACGTCGAACGTGTGGCAACCCCCCTTTTTTCCCCCGTCCCCAGGCACTGCATGTCGGACCGATCCCAGACGACTGGGACCAATGACATCCGACTGGGACACTTCTCGACCGTCCAAACAACCAACTGACTAGAACTCTTTTTTGTACAGCATTCTAAGGCGATCCAGACATTAAATGAACGTCTTAAGGGTGCACATTCATGTTGGGATTCAACATGAGAGGCCCGGATGGAATTGGTACCAGTTTACGTTCTGGGATTTTGGAGTTTGGTGGTTCTTCTTTTTTTGTAGCAACAACTTATAACAACACATATCACCTCAAAACAACCACATACATTCAACACACCTACATATATTTACAACACATTTCCCCACACTTCCCACAACAACGCATTCCGAAAACTGGACTTATCATCCTCGTCGTCCTCGGCCGTTATTTTCTTCCTCTCTTCCACCTCCTTCTCCTTCCCATCAACATCATCCTAATACTCCTCGTGCCGCATTTCTCGTCATCCTCCTTTTTCTCTTCCTGCTTCTCTCTTATTCCTACTCCTCCCCTTTGTTCTCCTCCTCTCCCTTTTCATCCTTTCCGCCTCCTCCTTCCTCTCCTCTCCTCTCCTCCTTCTCCTCCTCCTCCTCCTCCTCCTCTTCCTACCCCTTTTCTTCCTACCCCCAAGCTGGTCCCAGGAGGTCTTCGCGTGGCCCAGAACAGTTTCGAGATCGATCAAAATAGCTGAGCAGGGCCGAGGATACCTCCCGACAGCCTCTAGCCAAGCAAGGCCGAGCAGGGCTGAAAAACGACTCGGCGGCGGCGGCGGGGGGGCACGGCGACTCGTTCGGCTGCGCTCTCCCTGCCCACGGGTTCGGGGGTCTCCCGAACCTGGGCCCGAGACGCTTCCATTGGAAGCGCCGCCCTCGGAGCCAGGGGAACTCCCGCGCCCGCAGGGCAGGGGGGCGGGGGCCGAACGACTCGGCGGTGGCGGCGGCGGGGGGTAGGGCGACATGCTCGGCCACGCTCTTCCTCCCCATGGGTTCGGTCTCCTCGAACCCCCCGAAAAGGCGAAACGCGGATGCTTGGGAAATCCCGCGCCCGCAAGACAGGCGGTGACCGAACGATTCGTCAGCGGCGGTGCTGGGCCAAGTGGCCGTTCGCCTCCCCTCTCCTTGCCCCCATGGGTCCAGGGGCCCACCGGGGCCCCGAAGGCACGAGGCGCTTCCTGTGGAAGCGTCGCCCTCGGAGCCCAGGGGACCCCGCGCCCGCGGGGGCGGAGTCGGGGGCCGAGCGGCCCGGCGGCGGCGACGGAGGGCACGCTGAATCGTTCGGCCACGCTCTGCCTCTCCGTGGGCTCGGGGGGCCCCCGGACCTCTCAAGGCACGAAGCGCGTCCATGTGAAGCGTCGCCCATGGGGTTTGGGTATCCCGTGCCCTCGCGAAAGGAGGCGGGGACCGAACGACTCGGCGGCGGCGGCGGGGGGGCACGGCAACTCGTTCGGCCGCGCTCTCCTTGCCCGCGGGTTCGGCGGTCTCCCGAATCTCCGAGGGCACGAGGCGCTTCCATTGGAAGCGTCGCCTTCGGATCCAGGGGAACTCCCGCGCCCGTAGGAAAGGAGGCGGGGGCCGAGCGACTCGGCGGCGGCGGCGGAGGTCAAAGTGACTTGTTCGGCTACGCATCCCCCCCCATGGGTTCCGGGGCCCCCAGGCCCCCCGAGTGCACGGAACTTCTTCATCGGTCTCGATGCGTGCTTCTTGTGGTGGTGCGGGACCGTTCTTGTGAAGGTGTTTTAAGTCGCGTGGACCTGGCGAAATTCCAGGGCATTAAGCATTCGAGCGGGAATTCGCCTCGCCTCACCTCCTTTGCCTGCGCCTCTTGCCCTATCCGCTCTTTCCACCCACCTTGTCTTCTTTCAGTATGTCGATTGGGACCGTCCTTTTGCGTTCGTTTTTCATGTCGCTTCGCTGGGGAGTGCACGTGTCCGTGGCTCGATTGCATGTGGTGTTCGGATTTAGGATGATTCAGCGTGGAGCCATGTTTGTTGAACTTGTGTATCGTATTTGATTTGCGCGTGCTGCTCTCAAGCTTGTCAAGGCTACTAGAGAACCGCGCAACGCTCTCTACTATAGGTGGAACCATTCTTTGCGAACCCCTCGGTGCGTCTGTTCTCGTCTACTCGTCCACCATGTAGATGGACCTCGCGACTTGTCTCCGTACTAAAGCTCAGGGGTGTCATGAAACAGTCTGCTTTGACGCTGTTGTTCTGCCCGGAGCCAGTCACGCTGAGTTTCAAACCGCCGACTGAGATTCTAAATCTTGTTCGGAGACTCCCTTGGGAGCAGATTGTTTCGATCGGTGGCCTTCGCAGCCTGGTTCGTGCTGCCCCTCCGATCGCTGCCCCGCCCATGTTTCGTGTCCTCATTCGTGCCATTTGGGAGAGAGATTGTTTTGGGGGTAGCTAGTGGCCTGTGCGCGAGCGCGCGGGTCTTAGGGGGCAGTAATAACTTGTTATTGCAAGTCATAAGTCGACGCCCCCAGGCGGGAGTGTCCCGCCGTCGGCGCACCGCGCGATGGCGGGCGCCCGCATGTCCACCCGCCACGCGCCGCCGCTACGTCGGGCGGGCCAGGCCCCGCGCGGGCGTGCTGGCGTGCCGCGCGGCCGTGCGTCGGGGTCCTTCCTCCCTCCGCTCCTCCGTGCACGGTCGTGATGTCTCCTCTTTGCCGCCTGGCCGCGGGGCGGGGTATCGAGCGCCCGGTCATGTCTGCAGCGCCTCACCTGCCTAGTGTGCACTCTTAAGGTGGGGCGGCTGGCCGGGGTGTGGTCCTCTGTCTGCCAGTGTGCGGCTCTGGACCAACCCCGGGGGCGACGCGCGGGGCGTCCGTTCGCCAGAGTGCGTCGGACGCGACCGCGGTCGCGCTTCTTTTCTGGCCCAGTGTGGCCCCTCGTGGGTGTCGTTGTCTAGGGCTTGTCCCTGCGGGTCCTGTGTCCCTTGGTTCACCTCGGGCCAACGCCGCTGGTCCTTGGTGACCTACGCGTTGTTTCTCCACCCTGGCGGAGTCTGTTTCACGGCCATGAGGGGTCACGGCATTGCTATCAAGCCCAGAGTGGCCTCTTACGTCGGCCCAGTGTGACCAACGTGCCCATAGGATTTCCCCTCGCGGGTCCAGAGCGACCCTCGTCTGGCGGCCCAGAGTGGCCATTCAGTAGCTGGGCAGCCGATGCCAGCCCGCATGTCTGGCGGCCCTAGAGCGGCCAATCTTCGATAGGGCGGCCGTTGCGGCTTGCCTGACTGCCGGCAGACCCGCGCGTCTCGCTTGGAGGCCCAATAGTGGCCAATCGTTGCCAACGTTTCTTTCGCATCCCCAGTGAACAGTCGAGCGCGAGACTCGCAGCGCGCCAGACCCGCAGCGCAAAGGCAGCGAACTCCCGCCGTCGGTCGACGGTTTTTGCTCTGGCTGCCGCAGGTTCGCAGCGGCTCCGAATGTCGGGTGAAGTCAGCGGCTTCTGCTTGCTTGCGATGGCGGAGCAGGCTGCGCAGGCGGCGCTCGTGCCGTTCGAGGCGAAAACAGAAAGGGGCTCCTTGGTGCGCGCCGCATCCCGCGCGCGGGTCGCGTGCGCAGACACAGTGTTGTCGCCGGCGCGCGAGCGGCTTCGCTACCTGCTGGTTAAGGGGGGCGGGCCCCAGGCTGCAGGGGCGAGCGCCAAGGGGCCCGCCCTTAGTAATGCCAGCACCACCTGCCAACGAGAGCTGCTGGTCGCCAGTCCGACTCGGAGCAGTCGGCCCTCCGTTAGTAAGGCTGGAGCAGGTGTGGGCTGAACTGCGCTTCGCCCTGGCCCTATGCGCACCGCGTTTGCCGCGCGACGTCTGCCATGTCATAATGGGCCACGCTAAGCCCCAGATCGTCTCTGCGCCCGTGCTACGCTACCGTCTAATGGGCAATCCAGACAGCGGCGATGAAGCGCATTTCCGCCGGGTAAAGCTGCGAGTGCGCCCGCCGGCGCGGGTCGCGGGGGCCTAGGGCGGCGCGCGCGACCACAACGCTTCTAACAAACGCGCGCGCTCGTGCCGTGCGTGTCGTCCCAGTGTGGATTTGCGCGCTCCCTCCCGCAACTGGAAGCCGCATAAGGGTCGCTGCGCGGGCTACTAAGTACGCCGTGTAGCGATGTCGTTTGACGACGCGGTGCCGTCAACGCAGCCCGCCTCATGTCGCGAGACGTGTCGCATTGGCCCTCTTGTGTGTTCTTACTGTCGCGTGTGCGGGCGGCGGGGGCATCCAGCCCCCCAGCGCGATCGCAGCAGATCGTCGCCACGGCGGCGCACATCTGCCGCAGGGCCCTCAGGCAGCCCCTCGATGGAGCTGACGGCCACGGTGCCGCTTGGGCCGTGCGCGCGAGGCGCGAGGATCGACCAGCTGGCCAGCGCCTGCCCGCTCGGTAAGACGCGTGACCCGCGCTCGCGGCCATAAGCGGACCAGGTTTCCGCAGGCATCTCGCGTTGCGTTCCCGGCGCCGCCGTTCCTCCCCCGCGTTCGGGGTGCGCGCGTTCGTTTTGCGTCTGCGAAGCGGCGGGCCAGGTGTCTGCAGGCGCCTCGCTCGTGTTGCTACCGGCGTCGCCGTCTTTCTGTGCGCGTGTTGAGTGCGCTGCGTTGCAGTCGGCCCGCCGCGTGATCCCCGCGTGTGCGAGCAGTGCGACGCTGGTGTTTTCTGGCTTCTTTGTTCGTGATGGCGGACGGACCGCTGCTGAGCTTTCTGCGCCGAGACCCCGTGATCGGGGCAGAATGGTCGGACATCGAATACAAGGCTGCGATTGACTGCCTAGGCGCTAATAAGCTGCTGACGCCGGCACAGCTGGCGAACATTCGGCTAGAAGGGCTGTCAGGCTCGGAGGGCCTGCCAGCGGGCGTGAAAGGCGTGCTCCGCCGCGCGCTGGAGCGCGCCACAACTGCGGG